TGCTCATCAAGGTAGGCAGTTTAATTTCTTCTTCAATAACTATTTTTTTTTTTTTTGTGTGTGTGTGTGTGTGTGTGTGTGTGTGTGTGTGTGTATGAAACAAGCAGACTATGACAGGTTCAGGTGTATAATTGCTCTTTTCACCTCTTTTTGTAGGTATGATGATTGATGGAGCTAGGCCAACCGCGACTACTAAAATTTTTGCATCTGCTCAAAAGGTACCTAGTCTTGTTATTGTGTGTGTGTGTGTGTGTGTGTGTGTGTTTTAGCATGTTAAAAGTTATATATCTTTTATAAACTTTGATAAACAAGTGTAAATGTGATTGAACAGGAATTTTTGGACACAATTCCTGCTGCTGCTGCTAGGAAAATGGGGATTGGAGGAAGGAAAATGGCAGTAGATAAAGAGACTTCGAAGATATCAGGTGCAACCCATTCTTCCAGAAAATGTTATGATCTTGAAAGGAAGGGGGATTTGGATGTGAAATATATAGTCGGTGACAAAAGTAATATTCTCAAGAAGTTCAAATTGGCTGGTTTTGTAGCTTCAAGTGCTGATTACCATTTGCCAAGACACCACCCTCCTAAGAATAACTGAATGAGGAAAAAAAAAAAAAATGAAAAGAAAAGAAAAGCAATTGCTATGCTTGGAAGATCCCCTTTTGTTATTAGAAATGTTCTAATTAGAGCATAGTATATGGGAAATATCAAACTTGTATGTATGTAATGTAAATATCTCAATTTCTAGAGAAATTAACTCACTATAATGCTAAAGGTGCTCTGTTTTATTAGTAAATTCTGTTTTAATTCCATTCTTCAGTTTCATTTCTGAACCTTGTAGTGTGCTACTTGATAACACACACACACACACATATATATATACCAACTCAATCAAGATGTTTGTTTTCGGACAAGGTCCATTCGGTAGCTTATGGTTCCAACTTTTTTATTTGGTTAATTGGATACAGGAAAGGATACAGATGCTTCAAGTACATCACTTAAAAGACCTCAATATCGCTCGATTGATCAGGTCTCTCTCCCCCTCTCTCTTGATCATACACACGCACTTGCACTCGTTCACATAAGTCTGCAACTCAAATTTTTTTTTTCGTACTCAGAGGGTGTTGCAAATAGATGTTTTATGCTTCTAAACATCAAAATCTTCCTTAGGAAGATGGATGCATTTGTTATGTGACCTCACTAACATTGACATCAATGTTAATGTTTTAATGACAGAACAACAGCAACATGTTGGAGCCAAAGACATCGAAATCTGCAAGCTTGGGAATTCCAGGGAATGAGCCAGCCCATTTCCGAAATACTAAGACACACTACTCTCAAGTTTCAACTAAAGCCGGTCATGGAAGTTCTTCAAAGAAACAAGTCTCTCGAGAGCCTATTGATGCTATTGCTCATAAGGATGAAGCACAGAGACTTCTTAAGGCCACCCATGAGATTGTGACCCTGATGCATAAGGATTATAAAGGAATGGATAAGCCAGGCCGCAAGCCACCAATCAACAACGATGAGCCTATCGACTAAAGGATTAAAGATAGATGCAGTAGTTAGGTTTAGGCTCACAATTTTGCCCCCAGTAGAAGTGAAGTCCACTAAAAATATGTACAACTTAGCAGCTTCTTTTTGTCTTGCTTACAAGTGCTGTTTGTTTTTCATTCTTTTAACTCAACACTAAGTAGTAACATATATGTTTGTATTGTAAAATATAGAGTCTTGTGAAGTTAGATATTACCATAATGCTGCTAATGCTACTAAGTTTAGTCAAAATTATAACCATCTGTGTCTCTGCATTAAAACAATGCTTTCAATTCATGGTGCTAATTTGTGATCGATCTCTATATGAACATTAGGGTTACAATCTTTGATTCATTTGTTCATACCTTTTACATAATGCTGACCAACCTTGCTTGCATCAGACTACCATAGTTGGATTGTGACAATTTCTTCAACAATCCAAGAAAGAGTGTACAAATTTTTATCTTATTTTCAAGTAGCTCTTGGCCTCAAGATTAGGGTAAAGGGTGGGTTGGGGTGGGCTAGGGTTAGGGTGTGACAAGGCACTTGTCCATGAATTAGTCTAGATTAAGACCAAGATTAAAAGGGGGGAAAAGGTAACAATAGAACGATTGAATCCTCTATTTATTATTATTTTTTTTTCTTATGGAAAAAACTCTCATGTTATGTTCAGTTGCATGGGGTTGATGTCTTGAAATTGGAATTCAAATAAAATTAGTTTAAATGTTGAACTAAATCTTCTTCAATTTCAATTTCAAGACATCAATTTCATACAATCGAACATAAAATCGCTACAGACTGATATATTGATCCGAAAAGCTTGTGTGCTCCTTATTGAAAGAGAACAAGCTCAAAAACAATTGCAATCAAATGACCATGGTTACACTATATTAGGTGACAGCATTATTTTTCCATTCTTTATATTTGTTATAGTCTAAGTAAGGGGTTAGCTGTTACCATTAAGCTGCCTTTGGGCGTACATCAGCAATGAATTACAAATTTTTATTTTATTATTTTATTATTATTATTATTCTATTGCAAACAATAAGAATCAATCCCCGAGTCTTACATAGACTTTTACCTTTTGATACTTACTTGGAATAAGCCAACACAATTCCAAACCAAATTCAAATTCCAGTCTTGTTAATCCTCTGACCCTTTTTCTAAAGCATCAAAAATGTCTTTGTGATAACCTAACCCAGCAAGAGACAAGGTTTTGGTTCCTCTGCTCCTATTTGGGGCAAGTCAACTGCAAATTCTTTGTAGACTGGGCCTGAAATGCACTTGTATATAATACTAATATATTAAAGAATTTATAATTATTTAATTACTTTGTTAAAATTTTAAATTTAATTTTACTCTTGTGCAAAGCAAGTACAATTTCACTAGTGTGTGTGTGTGTGTGTGTGTGTATATATATATGTATATAAGGAAAAAAAATTGGCACTTAAAAGTCAGAACAGTGGACGTTTTCAAAGGGGGTTAGCAGACCCACAACCCTTCTGAGTTTGTTGGCCAGACTTTTGGCCGGTAAATCAGTGATATTTTGAAAAATATTTGTATTTAGAATTTGTTAGGCAAAAGTTTTTGTTTTACATTTTTGTTGTCATTTGAAACAGAAATAATATTTTTTTATTGTTATTTGGGAAGATGTTTGATAACGTAAATTTGTTATAAATTTTTTGGTAGCAAAAACTTCAAAAACATATTTAGTAAAAAAGTGTCGCAAACAAGTCTTTTTCTAAACAAAAAACAATTTTAAGAGAATAATAAAAGACAATTATCTAAAAACAAACTTTTTTTATAACTGAATTTTTAAAAAACTAAACCAAGCAGAATTTTTTGTACAGTTTTCTGAAAATAAAAAACTATTCTAAGAGTTACAAATCTGTCCAAAATGACTAGTTAAAAATGTTGTTTAGCTTGTTTTTTTTTTTTTTAGGTACAGTTCATGGACAAATATTTGGAAACCCTGCAATCCCAATTTGGTGTCTTCATTTTGACCTCTTTTTCGCAAACAAAAACAACATTATTCATATTGCAATAAAAGTAATCAAATGCGTTTTTGATGCTATTGACAAACTAACCCTTAAAAATTTGATTTAAAAATGTGAATAGCGAGACCCAATAATATGTCTGAATCACTTATAATATTTCAAATGTATTAAAACATGTATTTAGTATGACCTACTTTGAAACATATGATGGTCAGACTATTCGCTTTGAATAATATTGCCATTGTAATTTAAATGATATGTCTTGTTTGTTATTAATTGCTAGTATTTGAAATTTATTTACAAACTCATACAATATGGAATAAGAATTGCACTTTACTTTTCTATGTTTGCACTCCATTTTACTTTTTTTCTTAATGTGAATGACAAAAAAGATCCTTAGTTAACTAATGTATTATTATACAGTTAAAATCATAAAACTCCCACTACTTTTAAATTTTACTCATAAAACCCCAATCTATTTTTAAATTTTACTCATATAACCCCAACCTATTTCTAAAAACTCTTACATTTTTAAAAAGTTATCACATTACTCCAATATTCATATCGGACCCGTTAATCAAGGTATGAAATGACAAATTTAACCTTACTATTTAATGTTAAATTATAAACTAAAAACATTTTTTAAAAATTACAAAAATACTCTTTAAAATTACAAAAATTATGTTTGAAAGAAAGGGTGAAGAAGAAGATTAAAAGATATTTTGTAATTTTTAAAAAATAATTTTTAGTTTAGAATTGCTAATAACCTAATGCATTCCGAATTATTAATTCAACAATAAACATTAAGCCACAATTCAGAAAATTAACAAAATTCGGCCAGTGTAAATCAATAAAATATAAGAATAATAAATTGATAAAATCGAAGAGAATTAAGAGTGGTTCGTATGATTGATGGTTGCTACAAACTTTGTAGTGATTTGAATTGTATGATTATATATATATAACTAAACGGTTCGGTTTGGTTCGGTCTTAAAGGATTTCAAATCGTGACTAAACCGTTCACAAATTTAGAACCGTGATCGAACCAAAACGATAACAAATCGAACCACACTATCTGGTCCAGTTTAGATTTTCTATTTGACCGAATTTCTGTGTACTCTTAAGTGTAATTATAAAAGAGTTGAATGAGAATATGACCTCTCTATATAAAAGGATATTAATTTTTTTGTTACCTGTATAAAAATATATATATATCTCGTATATAGTTTCTAAGAAGATGGGTATGAAAAATGCTTCTTAATTGCCTAAATCATTGTCACTCGAGGGTTAGTCAAGGCATTTACAAGTCTTGTTTTATTGGTTGTTTTCTAAAGCAATTAAAGATCAACCAAAGTGACCGGAGAAGAAAACAGTAAAAAGAAAAGAAAAGAACGAACCAAACGAGAAAAAGCACCACACACAAACAAAGACGGATAGGTGCAAAAAAAAAAAAAAACAAAGGCGGATACATCTAAGACCCACATTCCCTCTCTCCTGTACGGCCAATTCTTAGACTCTCTAATACTCATTCCTAGACTCTTTAATTGCTACCAAAAACCATATGTCTTTTTCAATTCATCCGAGCAAAAGCTCTCTCTCTCTCTCTTTCTCTCGCTTCATCAAGTTGGTCTTCTGCAGGCAGACCTTCAAGTCTTCTCTTCTTCCTTTACTCATCAGTACAGCAGAACGGCTTTGTAGAGCACATAGAATTTACCTATGAATTGTTGGTTTCTCATCTATGAGGTATGTAATGTTGACCAGGGTTTAGGATCTTTGTCAATTTTCAATAATTCTTGCTTAATCGCGTTCTTTCTTGGTTTTCACTTTCTGGGTTTTTAGTATATTGTTGTTATTATGTTGTTTTGGCTTCATGGGTGTTGCTATTTTGGAGGTTTAGGAGAATTCGTTAATCCTTATTGATTGATAGATGATCGTTGTAATTCAGGCGTGCTTCCTGATTATGAGAATTATTACTTTGTTGTTATCATTCTTTGATTTTTGGTTCTCTGCTGTGTGTGTTTCCTTCTCTTTTTCTTTTTCTTCATTTTTTTTTTTTTTTTTTCTTTCCTTTAATCAGAAATAAGAAACAAACCATCCTTAACTCAATAACCCTCCCTTGTACCTGCTTTACCAACAGTTAATCACTCTGCTACATCAGCTGTGGCAGGTTTTTGCTCTCTTGATGTTCTCTTAGTGTGTTTTAGCCCTGTGGGTGTTGTCATTTAGGAATTTCAAGGGGACCCTTTAAAGAATCAGAACCATAAACCAAAATTCCTATTGCTGGCTTTAAGAAAAATTGTTTATTCTTGTTGGGTTTATTGTGTTCTTTTGGTGGGTTTGGTTTAATAGGTCTTTGTCGCTTTGGAATACCTAAGGGACCCTTCTAATCTATTTGATTGATATGTTGGTTGCCACAGTGGTTTGATGGAGAAAATCTTGATGGGTTTTTCTCTAATACAATTGAAAAACTTATGGTGTAATCCATTTTGAGTTTTCAAGGAGTGTTTACTTGCTAATATTAATACCATGAACATGAATGGTTACGTACTAATTTGAGTTTTCATGTCCATAATTTCTTTTTATAGAGCATTTCATTTTTTATATTTTTTAAATCACATAGCGTTTGTGATCCTTTTATGATGACAGTGAGCCTGTTGCATTTTCCCTACAAGATGTTCTCATTTCCTGATTCTCTAAAGAGACCAAAGAATGTTTCGTAAAGGTGACTTAGTTGTTATTGGGATCTCTGTTGGTGTGGCCCTTGGCCTTTTTATAGCATGTCTCATTTATTTTACCATACGGTGGTACAAAAGACGGGCTCATCTTCGACGCTGTGCAAATGAGCAAAGTGCAGCGACTCTTCCTATACGCACAAATGGCCTAGGTACAAGCCTCAACTCGAGTGCATCTCTTTCTAATTCTGTTACTGTTAAGGTATCAGATTACCTTGCCAAGAATTCTCCGCTCTCTTGGTGGAGTCACCACAGTAAAGATCGGATTGCTACAGCATCTGGCATACCAAGATACTCTTACAAGTATGTTCCTAATTTGAACAAGTTTCATCTTTCTGGATGTTATATTGAACATAAATTGTGTATTGCATTAGTAAAATCTTCCTTTGCACTTCATGTTAAATCATTGCAGCTTGTGTGAGTTCAAATTTTTTTTGACCTGTTTAATATCCTTGCTGACTCGAGGGCAAAATAATGTTTATTTTCTTGAGGATAGGATCTGTAGCATCTAGAATGCTACTTTTGTTTATCAGTCTGTTTGTTCGTTTATTTGTCTGTTTATTGTTGTTTTTGGCTTTTACTCCCGTGAAAGAGGCAACAATTGGCTCATTCACAAGAATGCATCTCTTACACTCTTTCAGGCTGAAAAAGAATTCTTGAACACTGAACAAAAATATCATAGCAACTCCATGGGTTCTCTCTGGTTAATTGTAAATTTACTGGAAATGCTATTATAGGCAATGAAGCAGTTGTCATACAATGGAAAAATTGAGAAGGGAAACCATAATTCTGGCATTGTTCCAGTATATAAAGGGCAACAGTCAGTTATGTTGGAATTGTCAAACCACTCAAAGATTACTTCCCAGTCCATTAGATTTTGAAGGAACCATGCAATAAAAACTAGTTCTTCTTAACTTGGTGTTTTCAGAATAAATTTACATCTCGTTGGGTTTTTTTTATGCTCAATGTTCATATTTCCTTATACATCCAAGTTATTATCTTAAAAAAGGAAACTTGATTTCAGAGATTTGTTCCCTTCATGCTACATTAGAGCTCATACTTGCAAGTTGGAATAAGATTCTAAGATCACTCTATAGATGCCAATCCTGACAGTGTCATTCTGGCAGCCTACATGGTAGTGGACAAATCTACAAAATTGAATTTGAACTCATCATTCTTGTAGCATTCTCAGCTATCTTTGTCAATCAACTTTGAACCTGTCCATTACTCTGCTTTTTAATGTTACGAATTCGTTTCAGAATGAGTCATCTAATTCCTTGAAAATATGCTAGCACAAAAGAAAATGTTATTTATTAATTGTTTGGTGTTTTATGCGATAAAAGAATATCTAATAAGTTAAAAAGGAAATTCTAAAGGATAGTTAATTAGGCTAACTATCTTGTACGAAGTAGAGTGTTGGGCTTTAAAAACAACATAAACAACGCATTCATGTAGCTGAAATGAGAATGCTAAGATGGATGATAGGAGTGACTAGAAGAGATAGGATTACTAACCAAAGTGTGAGGGAGAAATTAAGAGTGGTGCCTATTAAGGATAAATTAGAGAAATTAGACTTAGGTGGTATGGACATATACAACAAAGACCTAAAGATAGACCAGTACAAAGGCTTAACATGGGATGAAGTTTTTAGAAATGTTTTTAAACAGTTAAATAAAATAGGAGAAATGGCTTGTACTAGAAAAGAATGGAAAAAGAGAATTGATGTAGCCGACCCTATTAATATTGGGATTGAGACAAGGATGATGATGATGATTGCACACGTCATGGAAGGAGATAAGATTCATGAAGGTAGTCTTCAAGCTTCGCAATAGACATGAACTCAGGTTTAGGGAATTATAGTTCTCACACTAATTTTGCCAACTAAGCTAGTTGGCATCTTCTGTTACGTGCTGATCTTCAGAAAATTTATATAATATTGAGTAAGAATGCTATGGGAGTGATTGATCTTTTCCCTTTTGTTTTCTAGGGACATTCAGAAAGCTACACAAAATTTCACAACTATTTTGGGACAGGGGTCATTCGGTCCAGTATATAAAGCTACAATGCCTACAGGTGGAGTGGCCGCTATAAAGGTTCTTGCTTCTAATTCAAAACAGGGGGAGAAAGAGTTCCAAACAGAGGTAAGGGCTAAAATAACATCATTTTAGTAGTAATGATGATTTTTTTATCCTCCTACAATTAAACATGAAAGAAAGATCCTTCCCGACAAATTTTCTGGCATGTCTTTACTACACAGTTCTTATATCCTTCTATGTTTGAAAAATACTTGCTTATACCTACATGATCATGGATTTTTGCTTCGAAGTGTTCAACTGCATCATTTTAAATACATCGAAACTAGGCTATAAAGGAAACCTTTTCCAAATAAATGAATGCATAATTATGGGCTCAGTAGGCTGTATGAATACCCTTCAAATAGGAGAAAGAGAAAATGAATGCATAATCAAGGGCTCAGTGGGCCATGGACTACCTACTTTTTAGGTATTGCTAATTTCCAATCGGCAACTGACATCTGGCAACTTCAGAAATCACGATTCAAATTTTTCTCCATTTAGATGAATTAAATTTACTTTTTCATGCTATTTGGTATGTATTCTGACTGGAAGCCTAAAGTTTATTGAGTTCATGTATTTGGCCCGTTCTTTTTTCAGGTATCTCTTCTTGGTAGGCTTCATCACCGAAATCTAGTGAATTTGGTTGGGTATTGTGTGGATAAAGGCCAACATATGTTAATTTATGAGTTCATGAGTAATGGGAGCTTGGCGAACCTTCTATATAGTAAGTTCAAGAGTCCCTTATATATTTATTTGAGGTTCAATTGGGAGAGATCATATCCACTTGGAATAAACATGGCAGGACTCAGTTGAGTGTTTTTTATTTTTATTTTTATTTTTGTGTTTGAGGTAGATAGACCCAAAGAGATGGGAGTTTATCATCATTGCATGTCTCATGGTGATTTCAAAACTGTTGGCATGACCTTGGTATACTTTCTTTGATGCCATCTAATTGCTGGAAAGTACAAACATGAACCAACAATTTTATATGATAAGAATAACACTTGAAACCAAAACTAGAAGGTAAATTTGTTTATTTAGAAGATATACGGCAGCGAGTCTGGCCAAAACTAACTTGGGATGAAGTAATTAAGAATGGCTTTAGAAAATTAAATATTAAGAGTAGAATGGGAAAAGAAAATTCTTGTGGCCGACCCCATCCGTTTGTGATAAAGGCAAGGATGATAATGATGAAAAATAACACTTGAAACCAAACTCATAGCTCTGTGATGAAAGGAAAATCCTTTGTGCTTAAGAAGTGCTTTTAGACATGAGAATTGAAATGACTCAATTCATTTTTGTATCCTAGTGCTATTACTATTCCCTACTCTATTTATGTTTGGTGCACATGTGAATAGCTGGATAACCTATTAGGCTGGAGATTGCTTGAAAAGTAACTTATTAATTAAATTCCTGGTTTCATCATTCAAATGATGTATGCCATCATATCTGTTGAGATATACTGGCCTACCAATTGGACATTGAAAAAGTTAAGCACACTGCTACTACTGCTAATCTGCCTCTTTTGTTTTATGGCATAATCTTCATTTCTTTTTTCAGTAAATATTATTTTTCTCCCAGTAAATCATCATCATGTTCATTTCTGCCAACTATTCAGTGCTTGGTAAATGGATAAATTGTTGAATCATTTCTGAAATTGACGTGTATGCATGTATGTATATTCATGTGTGCTGGTGAACAAGTTTTGACTCTGTCATACCTTCTATATGATGATTTAGAGATGCACTTTCTTTGTATTTCTTCAATATCAAATTAGAAGAATCATCCTGCTGTACATGTGCGTAGGTGAAGAGGAACGGTTTTTGAGTTGGGAAGAACGTCTTCAAATTTCTCTTGATATTTCACATGGAATTGAATATCTTCATGATGGGGTATGCCGTGATCTGACAACTTCTTTAACTTTTTACCAAGAAAAAAAAATCAGTTTTTTATTTATATATCAATTCTTGGAACAGGCAGTCCCACCCGTCATACATCGGGATTTGAAGTCTGCTAATATTTTGCTAGACCAGTCGATGAGAGCTAAGGTAAACCAGTTGCAGAAAAATGATTTCTTTTTAAACCGATTCATTTCTGAAAGTAATTGAGTAATGGTAAAATCATCAAAAGGAGAATATAAAGAATTATTGCCATAATTTTGCTAGTCATGCCAGATCGGGGGGCATTAGATGCACCACACTTGTGTAGAATGGCAATATCAAGAAAATTAGACTATTTATTAGATATAGAAAATCCAATAAAAATGGTACCAAAAAATGATTATGTTTTCCTTATTTGAATCACAGGCACCTGCATATGATGCTTGCAGGCATTGTTATTAACAGGGAAATGCTTCCAATTTTTTTCCTATTATTTTTTTTTTCTTTGTTGTTCTCTGTATGCTACATCTGCTTTTCTTTTTTGTCAATACCTTCTGCTTGAATAGGTTGCTGATTTTGGATTGTCAAAGGAAGAGGCCTTTGATGGCCGCAATTCGGGCCTTAGAGGTACATATGGCTACATAGATCCCGTTTACATATCCACAAACAAGTTCACAATGAAAAGTGACATCTTCAGTTTTGGTGTTATCCTCTTTGAGCTCATCACAGCCATCCACCCGCACCAAAACTTAATGGAATATGTCAATCTTGTAAGTTATTCACCTGTACAGCAGAGTGCATCCTTCTGTAAACATTAATGCTGAATTTTCTAACTTAGAAAACCTTTTTGTTATTATTATTTTTAAGGCGGCTATGAGCCCAGATGGTGTAGATGAAATACTCGACAAGCAACTTGTTGGGGATTGTGACCTTGAAGAAGCGAGGAGCCTGGCTAGCATTGCTCACAAATGCTTGCACAAAACACCTAGAAAGCGCCCTTCAATTGGAGAAGTTTCACAGGCTATATTGAAGATAAAACAGAGGCGCCTTGCTAAGGTAGATACCATGTCTTTTGCAGACGATATTTCACGTGCAACGAGCAGGATAGAGTGTCAACAGTTGGAGTTGAGACAAATGGCCAGCATAAATGAGAGGGTAACTGACTGACTGACTAAGTGGAAGTTGTTTTTCTCCCCCACCTTCTTTTTCCCTTCCATTATTTTTTCTCTGCACCTGGAGCTTTGTTCAAGTAATACTGGTGATACCATATATGATACAAAAGAGAAATGAATCAACAAGCTTCTTCTGCAAAATTAGTGTGATGCGTATCAACTATCATCAAAGCTCCATGCTAGATATTCCGTGTCTGACCTGTATCATTTTCTTGAACATCACTATTTTTCGAACCACCAAGTGCAATGGTTACAAAATTTCATCCACAAGATGGACTATATACTAAAAATGTTGAGGTAAACACCTCAATTAGAACAGCAATGAGGAACCGCGAGTATTGAGTATGACTTAATCTAGTTTTCTTTTCCTACTTAATTATTTAGATAAAACCATTTATACTCGAAGCATTCTGTCTTGCTTGTGGTGGATGATGGATTTCGCTTTTTTTTAGAAGGTGTTGTGCTTTAACATCCTTTTTCGGGTATTGGCAAATTGTATGATAGGCTCATAGTTTTCTGGCTGATGTTATGGTAATAGCGAGAGAACAGTTCAATTCTTTTGCTGTTGTGAGGATACTGGAATCAGTCAAACAATTAATTAGAAAGAGCATACCAAAACTTCACTAGGTATGTGCCCTATTATCCGTGGTGGTGCAATATGGGCATTCATGGAAAAAAATAACTACTGAATTGTCTCGTGAGGATCCTCTTCAGTGCACAATTGGGTCCAAAATCCTCCTGTACAGTTAAATTGAAAATACTAAATTGAATATTGCAATAATGATATAAAGGTGTTGCATTTTCAATTTATGAATGTTACATTTTTGTTGCATAGGTGTTGCATTGTATTTGTCAATTTAAAGTGCACCTAATGTTACTGCAACCCAAAGCGTACTGTATAGGCGGATACGATACGAGTCTATTTCCATCGTTATACCAACGATAATTATGTTCACGGTCTGCAAGTCGCCATGTTTGATTCGAACCAAATCAAACCGTCGTTTGGTTATTGTTGAGTTGCAGTTGATGGCGGGTCAGATTTTTTAAACTGAAGAGTTCTATATGATTCCAGTTTAAATTAATGAATTAATAATTCATTTAAATATGCAAAGTTTGACTAAAACAGATTTCTTTTATAAATTTAATGTTGATGGTACGGTATCATTAGGTAATTCAATAGTGACACCGTGATACATAGTAGAGGATTAACTGAAATAGTTATAAATATGACTAACAAATTTCGATTGCCCTGATATCTAAAACCATGTTTAAATAAATTTTCAGTCACTTGAACTTTGATATATATATATATTGCGCTGCAGAAATTTCTGAGTCATTTTCCTCCACACATGATAAAAGTGTTGCTGAATCCAGCAACCTAAACTTTCCCACAGAAAACCCATCCCCACAATACATCCTTGTAGTTCATACAATGCAATCCATATTTCTTCACACATACACAAACAATAGCTTTGCACGTAAATAAGCAAATAGTGCAAACAAAACATTAAAAAAAAATAGACAAATGAAAGTTCGCACAGAGTTTCTTGTCTGTCCTCTATTTGGGTTTTATTCATCTCACACATCAAAAAAAGAGAAGTAGTAGAAGTAAAGCATAAACAACCTAGCACCTTAGTTCTCGTCTCTCTCAGCTGATCACCTCCAACTTCTATATGCAAACGGTTTTTGCAAAGCAAGCTTCTAAACAAACAAACTCACAATCTTCAACAAATAGTAGCTAGAAATCTTATTCTTCTTCTATTTTCTTGTTTCCATTAATTGTAAATTTCTCAAAACTTGCATGAAGTCCCAAGCCTCTGACTCTGACCCACACTCGCTGATTTGCGATTAGTGAAAGCTGGGTGCAGAAGCTTCTGAAAATTATCAAGGAACAGCACCCACTCCTCTTCATTCATATCTGCCAGATTCACTGAACTTGCACTTCCAGGTAACTGTTCATTCACACTTGAGTTGCCAGACCACGTACCAGCCGAATAACTCTCTCTTGGTGGTGCACCCTGGTGTTGCCAACTCTTTTTGACAAGGCTTATGTTTCTCAGTGACCCGGAAAGCTTAGAAACTGCTGGAACCTGGCCCTGCACCCGACCACTGTATTCTTCCAATTTCAAGGGTTTCTTGGCAGTCTCACTCTCTGCCTCCCCCCCCTCGGTGCTCTCTGCTAGTTTAGAAAGTGGTTTTTGGCCATTGCAACTTTTAAATCCAGAATGGTTTGACAGTTTGTTTAATGAAATTTCTACCATCTTTGGAGTTGAATCAGCCTCCTCCTCAGAGTCCATACAAAATTGAAACTCATCCTTATTCCCCGCCTTCCCCTCAAAACACCATGAATCACTCTCATCCAAAAGCTTCCTCGCCTCCATGCATATGTCCTCAAGCTCACTTGGCTCTTCCTCCTGGACTTGGAACTCCCTACTCATCATCTCACCAATCTCAGCAAGACACAGACCGAAAGCTGCTGCCTCCTTGAGAAAAATTGTGCAGAGAACCAAGACCCGTAGGCATGCCTCTCGAATCATGGGAAGCTCCATTCGTAGCATTTCAGAATCCCGAACAGGATCAAGACTAACTATATACTCAAGTTCATCATCTGAGAAAGGAATTGATGCCTGCGGCCAATGAATCCACTCAAAGTACGGGTCCTCCAAACTCTCTGGAAGGCAAAGACCATGATCAATGGGAACGAGCTCAACCTGACCAAACCTCCCAATCTTTCTAACCAAAAGATTCCCTGCATGCCTATCTGTATTCAGAATACGTATATCTAATATCCCAATTCTATGTACAGCTGTGACAGAGAAGCTAGAAGTCCCATGATCACTGGCATCAAAATCATGAGGAATGAACTGCTGGAACGATGCAATCTTGCTATTCAGATGCTTGTTCCCATAAACCTCTTCATTGACATTGAAAATTGAGTGTGTAATCTTCACAAGGGTGGTCGGGGGCACATTGGCAAAATGATCATAGTCAAGAAGGTAAGCCGCAACTTCTCTATACCCTGTCTCCCCAACCCGCACTGACTGTTTAAGACCCGGTTGACCAAGTACTTTGCCTACAAAACCTTTTGGGTTGTTTGGCGCAAAAGGTTCCTCATCTGTTGGCTTCACAATAGCAACATTGTCACCAGTGCAATTCCTGAAATAGTACGCACCTCCAAGCCCACTATGGACAGGGATCGGATCAATGCCATCCTCTATGGCCTTTACAATATCCTTCACCAATTGTTTGGTTATGGGATCTGAGCATCCTAATATCTCTACGAGACCACTCTGATCTCCCTGCTGAAGATCCTTTCCAATAGGTGAGAGACATGGAGTAGATGAGCTTCTGTGCATGGAATTCCTCGTCAGAAGAAGTGGACAATCATTTTTTACAGTGCTGAGATCATTTTTTAACACCGTATCTCCATAGATCAGCAAGCTCTCCTCAGTGGGGACATTGAGAGCAAGCTGCAGTCTCCTTTTCACTGTATGGGCATTGTCACTACTGTCTAACTCTATACCCAACACACAGCCAGTTTCAGTTTGAACAAAAACACGTCTTCTCCTAGAAGGTTTCCCGTCCATACTCTTATTCCCATGGCAGTCACGACCAAGGGGTAGTTTGAAGGTAGCAACTGCCATCTGGGTCTGAACAGTGCTATCCAGATCAGGAGACATGAAAGGAACCAGAAAAGTGGTGTTTTTCAATGCCGGCAGCAGAGGCAGAGGCAGAGGCAGCGCCAGCAGAGATATCCTCTCTCAGGCAGACGCCAATCTCTAATGCCGACACCAAATGCGAGAGAGAAAGGTCTGTATCCCACACAATCATAATCGATCCAACAACTTCAAATTCCATCCGAATTTCTCACATTGGAATAGATATGTCTATGACGCAGAGAACGGAACATAGCAAAAAGTCTACATTGGAGAAGCCACCTGCTAATGCTGGCTTAATCAGAAGAATCAAAATCATTGTGTAAGGAGAAAGTGAAGAACAAAAAACTTTCAATGTAGAAGTACTTTTTTGTCAACAAAGTGTATCCCGCAAAATACATATATAAACATTACCTTTTAACATCAGAAACTCAGAAGGAGATAAAAAGTTGCAGTTTGAAAATTTTACAACTGCAGTAACATAAGATTTTTTTGACTGATTCCAGGAAAACCAAAATAAAGTTACATTGCTTTTCACCAAAGATTAATAAAATACAGAAACAACAATCCATGTACAAGTAGAAAATGTCTCCAACAGGCCTTACAGATACAGACCGAATAGGCATTATCCCATGAGGGGAAAGCAGAAAATAAGTCCAACTCCAGAATCCTTAAGGCAATTCCAACACCTAAATGTGCTACCCTCAATGCTCATAGAACGGACTCAGGTTTAACTAGACAATCAACTTTCAAAAGTTCTTTTTAATCCAATTCTTTTACCATATTTATCAAAATTTCAAAAAAAAAATTAGTATTCCAGATCAGTATTTAATAATCAACAATAATATATGGAAATTCCCGGAATAACTTGAACTTAAGAACAAGAAGTTTGGAAATGAGATGGAGCATGGGGATGGGGTGTATATATATCTGAATCTACAAAATAATAGCAAATTATTTATGTCCCAATCCGATTATTGAAATATATTGATAATTTTCATCAAATTTATAAGCATGTACAAAAGATAGCTTCCCAACATCATCAATCATAGCAACTCGCCTTAGCACGATGCATCACTAATGCCCCAAGGAGTTTCAAACTCCCTACGATATCTCCTGCCCCCTACATGTAGGCCAAAAGGTCATTGGAACATATATTCATTGAAATAAGTAACAAGCAACTTTGCCAATACATTGACTCGAATCTATTAAACAAGACACTTTGTTCCTCCTAAAATGGACTTAGTTTCTATAACCTGCAACCAAAAAAACAAATAACCTATCCTACAACACATGGTCAATAATACGTTTGTAAAATTGAAAAAAAAATTCATTCTCTATTCTATTTGTTTTGACGTAAAATGCTTTTGGGAAAATATACTAGTCATATTTTGGTGTTGTGTTTGGTTGCACGTCAAATTTTACTGTCATTTTTACAAAAACAACTTAAAAACTAAGAATCAGTAAGTCATTTATGTTCTCTTTTCTAGATAGCCAAAACACCTCTCTTATATCGATCAACAGACCTAGAACATTATAGAGTGGCGCATTAATCTTCCCCTTCCCTTGCCAATATGTTCTATTTCGAGTACGACATATCATACTTACTATATTTACTTTCAGTGCTCTCTCATTCGTTTGCTTTTTGATGTGTATTTCTTTAATTCTACTTTTTTTGGGGCTGGGGGAAGGGGCATTTTTTAAACAAAACCTGCAGTGGATTTTTGGAAAAATAAGCAATCTGCTCCAATTGCATGCTCTGTGTTTTTAAAAATTTTTACAGAAAATATTTTTAGGCCCAAACACCAGAAAATAAGAAGAATAAAATACATGGAAAATGTTTTACAATGAAAATATTTTACGTTAAAACAATCAAATCCCAAATCTAACTTGAAATTAATGCTAATATCCATTTTTATTCAAGAAAAGTAGAAAACACATTGGAACAATATTAACATCTTTATTTTTTCTTAAAGCAATTAATAGATATCATTTACAAAAAAAAAAAAAATTACCGTGAATCAAACACACAAACTGCAATACCAACTAATTCATATATATATATATATATATATATATATATATATATATATATATATATATATATTTGATCTATAAATAAATTTGTATCTCCATCGGATACACGCGCCAATTCACAATTCCGTACCCATGAATTCACCAAATAGACGTTCATTTCTAAACGAAACTAACCGAACAGAAAAAGAAATTGTAAATAGTATATTGTTGAAAATTCCCAAAATCAAAATTTCAGCCCAAAAAGGTTGTGTCAAAACTGAAGTTCGATGAGTAATATAGATTATGTGATCAATTTCAAAGTTTTTCGCATCGACGAAAATTACTGAATACTACTAAAGCCAGTTCAAAACCGATGAAGAAAAACTCACCTGCGACTGGGAAGATCCGATGATCGAATGGTCACCGCCGACGGAGGCCGTCGGGGGAGAGATTGACGGCTATGATTCGAGTTTCTAATGGATCAACCGCTTGAATTCAATGGGCTGTCTCAAGTTCTCTGTGCATGTGTGTGTCAGTGTGTGTCTCTCCCCCCCTCTCTCTATGTATCCCGCTTTCGGAGAATTTCCAACTCCTTTTCAAGAGAAGAGGGAGGGCTAAAAAGTAAATTTGTAGGATTATAAATCTTGTACAATATGAAGTATTGTAAGATACCAAATACCATTCAGAGATTTTACCATTCACAGAACTATGGAACTTTTTTCTTTTTGACTTTTTGTAAGCTACTGTATTTTACAGTTTTAACCTCAGAAGAAAAGAAAGATCTAGAACGCTACTTTGAGGACCGTTGGATTGGTCGACCAAGATTGTAAGACGATTCGTTGATGGTCCAAGGGTGGTGGAATTTTTGTTTTCGAAGACCAAGAGGTAAGATATTAAGATTCAAGCGACGTAAAATCTAGTACAAAAATGAGACAACCAAGTGGTCCAACAGTCCCACTCAATGGTGTGACAGTATAAGGCCCTTTTGCCTAAGAGGATGAAGACACACGTTGCAATTTTAGGGACTCAGGACAGGGGAAATTTATTACTTCATTAAGATAATAATTTGAAAATAATTATAAAAAACTCTGAAATACAGAAGTTTATTTTAAAAAATTACAAACCATAATTATTGAAAAAATATGTCTTTTTTAAAAAAATAAATTTTCAGAAATTGTCAATTAAAAATATTTCTTTTAATTATTAATTTTTTTTAATCCTGACAAACTAGGGTGGAGGACTCAAAACTCGAGTCCTCTACCAACTTAGGTTAGAGTTAGTGATTTAATTGACATATTTATATATCCCTATCCTTATGAGATTCTTTTTATTATTATTATTATTATTATTATTTTTTTTTTTTTTTTTTTTTTTTTTTTTTTAATAACGAATGAAAGGAATGAGGTAGGAATGCACAATTTGAGCACGAGTAACAACTTGTTGAGACTAAATCTTCTTCTTGTAAGGGGAAAAAAGAAAAAAGAAGAATAGCCCAATTTTTTTCATTCCTTGTTAGTGAAGTTGTTTAATCTTCAATTCAGCTTTTGAAGCAACAATTTAGGCGCAATAAAAAAAATAGCACAACATTTACATTGATCGTGTGTGTGTGTGTGTTTTGCTTGAGCAAATTGTTTTGATCAAGATTGTGCTTTACTCAATTTAAACCTACTAGACACAAGCATTTGTTTTACCTTTAGGAGTGATTAAACAAATTAATCAAATCTTGAGAGCATTCTACTGGTCTGGTACTGAGCTTAGGAAATCAGGAGCTAAGGTAGCTTGGAATGCCATTTGTAGACCAAAAATTTGTGGAGGGTTGGGGTTTCCCTGCCTTGACCTCGCCAACAGAGTTTCAAGTCTCAAGCACCTCTGGAGGCTTTGCTGTAGAAAAGATAGTTTGTGGGTAGCATAGACTTACAGGTATCTCATTAAGAATAAATATATATGGACAGTCAAATCTTCATCATTGAGTTCAGGATTTTGGAGGAGGCTTCTCAAGTTGAGAGGGATGGCAAGGGGTCTTGTGAGGCACAGAATAGGGGCGGGAAATTGCACAAGCATGTGGATGGACTACTGGTTACCTAATGGACCCATCACAATGCAGCTTGGTCTCTCTGATGTGGAAATTCTTCAGTTGGACCCTAGAGTCACAGTTGATAGTCTAATTTCCAACAATCAGTGGGAAGTACCAATCTCTCTCCAACAAATCCCTTTTTTCCAAAGCCAAGCCTTCACTTTACAGCTGCAAAATATCCAACCCCCTTCACATGCCTCAGATAAAGTAGAATGGATCCCTAGTTCTCCCAATGAATACTCTCATAGGCTCACCATGGAGTATTTTACTCCTCCCAATGCTTGGGATCAGCTTGTATGGTTCAAACATCGCATCCCAAAGCATGGCTATATTGTCTGGCTGGCACTTAAAAAGAGACTTGCCACACTTGACACCAAACCAATGATGACGAAACACTACACCAATGCATGCTACCTTTGCCTTGCACAAGCGGAATCACTTGACCATATCTTCTTCAAATGCCAATTCAGCTCCAGAATCTGGGAATTTGTTCAACATGCAGCTGGGTTTTACATTAAACCTGACAGTTGGAATGACATGGATGCAGGATCACTTCATCACTCACAAGCTGCTACTTTCAAGTGCAATCTACTTCATTTGGCAAGAAAGAAATGCAAGAGCATTCAGGAATAAATCTTCTCCACCTACTCATGCTATTCACCTCATCAAAGGTTGCATCAGAGCAAGATTTGCCTCCCTTAAGCTAAAGCACAACTCAGACATTAGGAGGATTACTTTGCTGGAAGGAATGCATCAGTTATTCTTACAAGGTTGTTCATATGCTCATGGCCAGTCATGGTTCCTCCTACAATAGTTCTCTTATCAATTCGTACTGCTACTTGAAGTTCAACAATGAGAGTTCATCCTTGTGAATCAACAATGGGAGTACACATGTTATAACTATTTTTGGAAATTGGGAGTACACTTTGCTGTAGCCTGCTGTAGAATCCCCTTCTACCAAGGAGCATGTTCTTTGGTTTGTTTAGTTGGTTGGAACACTTTGTACATATTCTTTTTATTTATAAAAGCTTACCCTTTTAACAAAAAAAAAAAAAAAAATTTCAAATATTCAATTTGTGCATTTGTTTGCTGGCAGCTTGATGTGCTAATTTGATTAGTTGTACAGTCTTCCTCGTCTTGGTTTTCGTATTTGTTTGCTCAAAGGTGAGACATCTTATTCGCTTTTTAAAAAAAAATTATTCTTTCAACTTTTATGAACATTTTACAATTTTTATATGAAAAATTAACTGTCATTTTCTTAATTGTGGAAAAAACTTTTTTCAGCCCACAAGGCAAAGGCTAGAGAAGTACATCCATGCCCAAGTATGGTTGAGGACGAGTCAAGAAGGGGAATTCTGTGCCTCGGAATCTTCCTGGGTATGCTCCCAGCAACTTTTCTTTGATTCTTTTATTCACAGTACATTAAGCTGTCGATTTGCTAGTGGTAACAATAATTCTGAAATTGTCTTCATATTTTTTACTGTCATTTGATAATTTTAATGCTCATTCACATAAAGAAGGGATCAAAATTTTATTTTAGAGGGGACACAATGCACTTATTAAAAAAAAAAAATCAATAAATATGACAAATATAATTTTTTAAAATCAAAAGACAAACAAGAAAAAAAAATAATTATAAAATAATATGCTAAATAAGTATTGTAAAAAAATATACTTACAAATATAAAATGAAAATATTGATTAATAATATTTTAATTAAATACAATCACAAATGTCATCGATAGAAAGAAAGAAGTGAAAAAAATGGAACAATACATAATTATACATAATTGAAAAAAAAATAAAAAAAAAAAGAAACAAAAATTAGAAATGGAAAAATATATGGTGTACTTGATGAAGGGGATGTATGTAACCTTTTTTTTTAAAAAAAAAAGGAAAGAAAATTAGAGGAATTTGAAAATTTTAGGGGCACTATTTAAAACTACCATATAAATATATGTATATAACAAAAATATATAAATATGTATAGTAAGTTCCTGGGGCTTAATTGACTCCGCCAATGCATTCACAGTGTTCCACTAATCAGGTCGTCAGCATTTGCATTCATGTTCCCTTATTTTGTGCCCATGCAATCTATGTACAGTTTTTGAAATAAATTACTGAATGATGAAACTCATTTGATTAATGCTACGCTAACTTCTTTTAATACCCTACCACCTTTCTTGAGATTACAGAGAATGCTGCATGACTTGTTAGGCCAACGCCGCAATATGAAAAAGACTGCCTTGATTGCAGTTGTGACACAAGAGGCCCAATCTTCCAAGATCAAGCAGTAATTAGCCAAGGTTGCATGAAATTGCAGATTTGTTTCCGCAACTCTTTCAATCGTTTGATCAAATGAATGCTAATTCCGTCAAAACTGGTGCACGGAAAGAAGCATCCTTTGTTATTCTGTCACATTTGATGCATGGGAAGAAGCTGCCTTTACACACAATTTTTTTCATTCCTCGTTAGTGAAGTTGTTTAATCTTAAATTCAGTTCTTTAAGCAGCAAATTTAGGAGCAAGAAAAAGAAAGAGAAAAAATATATATAGCACAACATTTACATTGATCGATCATTAGGTAAGGTGTTCAATCAGCATTTTCAAGAGCATGTCAAAAGCAGCAAATTAAACTGGTTATAAAGGTGGCTAACAGACATGAATTTGTTAAATTCAGCTCTTTCAAGTATCAAAAGCAGCAAATTTAGGCACAAGAAAAAGAAAAAGAAAAAGAAAAAGAAAAAAAGAACACTGAATTATGCCTGAAAAAACACTGAATGGCATGGCAATATAGTCGTTGATCAATGGATTTTGTATGAAATCCAAACAAAATGGTTTAGCAAAGACCGCATCACCGGATACTGGAAAACAAGAACTGCACCGATCAAGGATTGCTTCGTAACTTGGATTGGAATCGAGCGTGAGACCAATCCGAATAATGCCTGAAAAATCATCAGAAAGTTAGTGAAGAGAAGTAACGACTTAATTTAACTGGCGAAGAACAATAGAAAATCCATGTCTGGTTTATTGTTAAGCTTGATCTTGTACTTCGTGCGATTACTGTTTGAACAAAACTGAATAATGGCATGAATGGTTGAAATGGAAAGTTTTACTTTGCCTAAGGTGTCAAATGTCAAGAAAGGGCATCCCCTGACAAGAAAGAACCTGAGATTACTAGAAGGAAGATCCAAAGTAACACTGAGATCACTGTATGAAGAGAGTTTATGGGTTGAATTGGGATTGGTGTTTTTATTTTCCGGTAAGTTGCCCAATAAGTTCATTAAACCAAACATTTCCGAGTGTAGCAGAGATTTGCCTCATCAGTGGATTAGTACTGGTGTTATTTGATAAAGCAGAGATGGCAAGGTCCGGTTTGAAAACTTGGTCGGTGAAGGCAGAGTTGGAAAAGTGAGGAGTGAGAGGATTTGATGAGAGGGGTGGATGTATTCAGCTTGATCACCGTTTTTTAGTACCAAATTTTGGAAGAATGAGTTGGTGGGCAAAGGGGTTGAGAGGAGGTGGGGAGAGAAGAAGCGAGATGGGTTAGGGAGGACAGTGGATTGGGTTTGAGGAAAGAGGAAGGGATGGGTTTGTCCTTTGTGGACTGGTGTTGGTGGTTGCGACATGGCGGTGGGTGGTGGTAGTGGACCGGTGGTGGAGGAGAGGGAGATAGATGGTGATGGCTCTGGTTTGAATTGGGGGTGGGTTTGCGAGTCTTTTGAAATTCCAATATGCCGTTTACAATTCCCACCAAATTCTTTGGCTCTGAATTCAATGAGATGTTTTTAGTTCTCCGTGCTCTCCGGGGGTTTCGAGAACAGTTGGATTGGTCGACCAGATAAAACAACGGTTTGCTGACGGCCCAATAAAGTGATCTATTCATGTCGGCCCAAGGGTGTAATTTTTATTTATTTAAAGTCCAAGAGACTACGAATTTATAAAATAGACTTCATTCGACCGAGGGAAAATAGAGATTTGGAAACCCAGTGGCCCAACAGTCTCACTCAGAGGTCAATCCAGTGTTAGGCCCATTTGCTAAGAGAATGGATTATATAGTTGGTGCCTGGTGGTTTGCTTGAATGGTTCACCCTTTGGTCGACATCAGTGGCTTAGAAATAATTTATTTACGAATTAAATTCTCACCCAGTTAAATATAGAAACATAAATTATTTTTTTAATTTACTCAATGAGATCCGATGGTTGGTTAATACTTGAATTGTACATATATTTTTATTTTTTGTTGTTGTTTTTCTTTTTTTGAATATCCAAAATGAAAAGAATGAGGTGGTGATGCAGTTGGAGATTTGGAGCACAACCAACTCAATATTTGAATTATTTATGAGCATTTTTGCATTTGGAGTCAAAACGAATTAAAATGGTTGGGCTCAAATTGAGATATTGCATGACCTAAACAGAACTTTGAGTAATCACTTATTAGAGATTCATCTCAATTAATAAGGATATGCTATTCAAATTTATAGCATTACTTTTCTGTATATGCTACAATTTGTTTATATGATAAATAATTTTGGCATTTCTTGAGATTTGTCCACTTGTATATAAATAATTAAATTAGATCTTAATTTAAAAAATAAAAACTTTATAAAAATTTTGCATGCACTCTAACGATGGACTTGCATATTGTATACAATTATCACGGGCCATGGGCTTGAAAGCCCGGGCCAACCAAGATCCTTAGGCCTGCTCGTGTTAAAATATTTGGTGTATTATTTATAGTGTCATTTAAGGGGGTAAGTTTCAGAGCTTCAACTACTCCAATCTGGTATGTCCCTTTCCTCTCATCCTTCAAATCTGGCAATAAAATCCAGCACCGACTTTAATACATTCACTGTTTATTCTGACCTGCCAAAAATAACCAAATATAAAAATTCAAAATCGATGTACAGTACGCTTTGTTTGGATTGATGGAAATGGAAGGTAAAAAAAAAAATTAAAAGAAAGGGAGGGATAGTGATATTTATGTTTGGTTTGTTAACAATGAGAGAATAAAATAATAGTAAATTGGAAAGATTTGGAGAAATACACTCTCATTAACTAATTTTTCAAAAATGAAAAAATTTAAAGAGTTAAGGGTAGTGACACTTTCATAATAAGTCTCACACTAACATTGAGGTATAATAATAAATTAATTAAAATATTTTTATATTATTTCTCTTCTTTACCTTTTTTTCAAATTAGAAAGCCATCCTTTTTTTCATAATTTATCCAAAATTACTGCTAACTTGGATAAATTACTACTAACTTTCATTTTCTTTTCTCTCCTTATTAGTTTTTTTTTTTTTTTTTTTTTTTCCTCCTGTTTGGAACGAAGCCGTACAATTACATATTTATCACATCAATAATACGGAGTAGTTTAGAGTTTCGAGATAGTAGATTAGAAAGTTTTGAAAAGAAGGGGTGGGCCCACACCTCGCTCCCTCTTTCTATACTTACTTCATTAATTGTCACATCAATATCAGTAAATTTATTTTTTTCTAAAAAACTTTTCTCCCCTAAATCATTTCACACTTCACGACACCCCATTAATTTCTTCTCCAAACAATTGCTTCTCAGTGCCCACATCCCACCAGATTCTTCTGGTGCAAACCCGCCATTATCAGAAAGGAGACAGACCCACCCACTGACGAAAGCCAGTGGGTTCATTGTGAAAAGCTTCAATGTCACGTGATGATGGACTCAACATCACGTGACTCTCCTTGCCTATGCAGTGGATAAAAAATATCCCACCAAGGCCTCAAGAAAAGAACTACTACTATCACGCGCATATAGTGGCGAGACAGTGTCAAGACAATATTCTTCCCATTTTCACAAGTCCGTGAACGCACGCTCTACCAGAGAAAGTGGGTTGGTTGGCACTTCCTCTTGTTGAAGCACGGTGGGCTCGAACATGTCCGAGTCCTCTCTCTTCGTCCAATTTAACACCCGAAGACAAGTTGCATACGTGTCTCCATCCTTCTCGGGTCTTGACTTTCACTAACCCCCCCTTACCTTCTTCTTCTCTGTTGCGCTTCTCTTCTCCTCCAAGCCTACAGTGAAGAGAGAGTGAGATTTGTCTGGAGAGAGAGGAGAAGGGATTTGTTTGGGGAGAAAGAAAATTGGTAAAGAGAGATAGAGGAGAAAGGGTTGTTTGGGTGGAAGACAGAGAGAGTTCTCTAGAGAGAGAAAAGGAGAGAGAGAGAGACTGTGGTTGATCTTTTGTGGGTGATGAGGTGGGTGGCAATGAAAGGAGAAGGGAAGATGGTATTCAAGTCTAGGCTGAAGTGGGTTGGGCTGGTTGGGCTTGTTCTGTCGGCTTTCTCTCTCTTCACCCACTTCTTACTGGCTAGATATACAGAGGAGGGTATTACAGAGTACCAGTCTTCAATCACAATCTTCTCTTGGAGGCCCATCTTTGAGAATGCCGATCTTTCCATAACTGTAATGTGCCATAAACCTCTTCAAGATCTCATCTTTATCTATTCTTTATTATTTTATTTTTTTCATTCTAAAATTTATTGGCTTTTATGTTTTTATTTATATGTTAGTCTGAATCTGATTTTTCTTCTCCCCGTTTGGTTACTGAGAAAACTGGAAAGAAACAGAATTTCAATCGAATGTTTTTATGTTCATCTGAACCAAGCCCTATGGTTGTTTGTGTGCAGTTGGAGCCCTTTGGACGGAATTTCTCTCTTTTATGCTGCTAAATAATAAAATGGGCATGGTTTAGAAACAATGATTGTTTCTTCTTTTTCTACATTATCTCAGCAAATAAAGAGTTTATCTTCTTTGTTAATCTTTCTTGTGTTTCTTGTGTGTTAATAATGTGACTATAGGTTATTGGGTTTTACCATTATTATTGTTAATTTGTTTTTCGAGCAATGCCGGGAAATGACCCATAGCCATTTAACCAAATGGACTATGGAAATTGAAAGAGGGCTAATTATGGTCTTATTATATGATGGTATCTTCATCAATGAAGCTACATTCTAGCTTTTTAATTTGGCTATCAAATTCAAGTGGTTTCTTCGTCCAGTGGACTAACACACTCTTTCCAGCATGTGGAAATTGTTGGGGCCCAAATCTAGGGGGGTCTTCTCTTAGTCCAAATAATCAATCTAGGAGGCCCTAATATTCTGGTACTATTTCTGCTTTTTTCTTTATTATATTTATGTATACATTTTTTGGGTGGGGTGGAATTTGGGACTATTGAAGAAGGTTCAGGTAAGTTTCCTTATTTCTTTTCAGAAAATGATCTTCAACATTATGTTTGCTTTGTACTGGTCAATTTGCTTAAATTTCTTGGTGTACTGTTGGTTTTTCTTAGTAAAAGTTACCCCTTGAATCCCTTGTTTTTTCTCCTAAATATATGTATACCATGCCATTCTCACCTTTGCTCGAGTATGCGAGGCTTCTTATTATCTTCTGTTTTGTTATGCAGAGTCCACTTTATAGGAGACTGTGGGGTCCTGTTAGGCATATTGAGTCTTTACATCCACATGCCAATCCCAGAGGAAACTACGCAGGTTACATGCATCTTTTTTAATGAATATAGTATTTGTTATATGTTTTACATGGACTTCTTTTGTCAAAGAAGCTTGAATCATATTTCATCTGTGAAGTCCTAGTTATTTAATAATTAAATTTATAATGTTTGATAACCTTGGATACAAGTAAACCAAGCCATGATTGTCTGATCAATAAATCAATGTATTACTTTTTAGTTCTATAATATCTATAATAATCAACTTTCTCGAGACTTATTTGTGTGACATCTACTCAACTCAACAAAGCCTTTACAAACTATTAGGTGTTATGAATCTTGTTTTGCCACTCCCTTCTATTGAAGACCATAATCATAGCAAAATAACATGCTGTCATATATTTCATTACTATCTCACACGTGTTATTTTTAGTTGTCCTTTTATCCTTAGGATTATCTTCAATGTGGACCACATCAGTCTTCCTTAATGATATAGTTATTGGTCTTCGAATTTGGGGACTTCGCCTGTAACCCTATGAGTCTCTTTTATCATTTAAAGTTCTTCTGGAACCCAAGTTGGCTGTGTTAGAATTTACAATAAAGCTACTGCTAGAAACTTTAAAAGTGTATATTGAAGTTGGTTTATTAATGCATTTAGGGAAAAAAAAAAAAAAAAAAAAAAAATTTGGTTTATTAATGTTATTTTCTCTTTATTGAGTAGTATTATCTCTAACTTAATTTTTTCCCCCTTTATCAGCTCCCCTGTTGCAAACAAATGGCTTTATTTTTGTTAGGATACGAGGAGGTTTTCATGATATCAGGAACTCGGTGAGGATAATATGATTGAATTGCCTGCTTGCCTTAAAAAGTAAAAGAACAACTACTGAAAAGGTCTTGATCTTGTAGATATGTGATGCTGTTGTGGTTTCTCGGCTTCTCAATGCTACCTTAGTTATCCCTGAGATACAATCAACCACAAGCAGCAAGGGGATCAGGTGTCCTTCAAGTGTCATTTAATTCAATTTATTTATTTATTTCATTTTTGGTTTAGACGATATGAGAAGTGTTATTTAAAGTTTGAAAATGTCTTAAATTGATGTAATGTGCAATCATTTTTTAATAATTTATTTTATCATCTATTTCATGCAGCTCCGAGTTTAAGAGCTTTGCCTATCTCTATAATGAGGATCAGTTTATGGTAGCAGTAGCAAAAGATGTTAGGATTGTGAAAACCCTTCCAAAGAACCTCAAAGGGGCAAGAAGAAAGAAAAAGATTCCTTCATTTAGAGTTTCTCACTCCGAGTCTCCATATTTTTATCTGCACAAAGTTCTACCGGTACTAAACAGGCACTCGGTGGTTGAACTAGTTGTTTCCAATGGAGGCTGTTTGCAGGTAATGACTGCTATGGTGCTACTATGTTTACTTTACCGGGTGTATAAACTAGGTTTGATAATTTCATGTGCTCTAGTGATGTTAACAAATTCCAAACACGGGACCATACATGTGCCAAATGGATTGTTGTTTATAACCATGAGTTCTGCGGAAATTTATTCAAAAATCCATGTGGTTTCGTGTGAAGTTGTCAACTAGCTGCTGGCCCTATGTTCTCCACCTCCCCTTCCTTCTCTCTTTTGGCTACATAACTGATCTTGTTGTATTTACTATTTAGAATAATTAAGCTTTTGGATGCAGTCAGCCGGCGTATGCTTAGCATATCATTTGTATTCTTATGTTTTCATTTTCTCTCAAGGTATTTATTGTATTGTTTTCACATTTGGCTAACTTGATTCAGACCTGATCCGAAAATGCAGTTCTGTTTGCTGGGGCTTAGAAGCAAAGTTGGCATAATAAAAGGAGTGAGGTACTTGTAGGACACGGGAAGAGAGGAACGTATTCTAGTTAACTAGGAGTTTCCAAGAATACCGTCTTGATTTGTTTTTCTATCATGCTTGTATATTAGTGAGGTACTTGTGGACACAAAAATTGGAGATTTTAGTGATCAACCGTCCTTGATGTACAAAGTTTTGGAAATTAGACACACACTTACATCCAACACGGCAACAGGTGTACCTGTAACATGTTTGAAGTAGAAAATGATTATTTTTTACCTGACATAGAAAATGATTATTACTAGTTTTGTCTAGAAATTCTTATGTCAGATGTCTTTCTTAATATTTTATTATTCTTTTACTATTGTAAAAATATCTACAGATGAGAGCCATAACTGTTGGAAACCCAAATAATGCTGATCGACACGATTGCACTTCAAGGCAACATTACATGAAATATTAATTTCTATGATCTCTATGTTAGTTGGGTTCACTTGACTTGATCATTTGATTGGTATGTAATATATGTTATTTCTTAACCTATAGATTAGGAATTGAGGATTCGCAATTCTTTAATTTTCTAAATGTTTCCATTTGATGTCACTAATCAAGAGACAAAAGGAAGGGAATTGTTTTGAATGAGCTAATTTAGCACAAATTGTTGTGTTTTACAATTTACCCCTTTTGTTAAAACCCTTGTCAACATGTATCTATTTACATTTTATATGCTCACTTTAGAAGACAAAAAGGAGAAAAAATAAGATTTTTTTTTTTTTTTTGTAGATTGCTCACTTTACATTGCGTGTTTCTGATCATGGAATCTGGTAAATGTTTTTGTGTTTTAGTGTATGATGAAAATTTTACGTAAAGATTGGCAATTGCTGAAAATCTCCTGGCCTTATATATCTTTAGAAATATCTTTAAGTAGGTAGTTGGATTTTCCATCAAGATGAGACAAATATTTAAAAGAATCTTGGGTAATGTGTTGAATATTGAGATATTACCATTTTTTATTTTTATTTTTGGTAAATGAGAAATCAAAAGTGACATATCACAATTTCTTTTTTTAGCAAATTAGAAATCAAAACATTCAATTCTGCATGTTTATGTTTATTTATGCACAAATATATCTTTATGCTATTAGGTTTTGGATGGAAAAAAGAAAAAGTCAATCCCATGTTTCTACATTTTGATCTCATATTTTTTTAAAACTTAAATTTCTTGTACTTAAATTTCTTGTTACTATGTATATAAAATCATTTTGACTCCACGTCTCCTTCATGAAAGATTTTGCTGGTGTCCATAAAGATGGCGACAGTCATTGTTCCATTGCTGTCATGATCATACCTTTCATCATCTTTTAATTCTTTTTCTTCTTCTTTTTTTTATTATTATTATTTTTTTAAAATTTTATTTCCCTATATGCAAAACATAAGGAATACAAGAAAAAAGTACTCTCATATGAATCTTGCCACCTTAGGAGAACAATGTTCATAATTTAATGTTGTTATATGGCCTAATAATACTATTTTGCATTTCCAACTGATTATCATTTTTACTGGGTTGGCTCAGGCTATTCTTCCCCCCAATCTTGAAGAGTATCAGAGGTTGAGATGTAGAGTTGCTTTTCATGCCCTACAGTTCCGAGAGGAGGTCCAGGAACTTGCAAATAAAGTTTTAAATAGGTCAATCACTTCCATTATCTATCGTGCAGTTAGAGTATTTGTGTGGCTTTTTGCTCATTTCTGTACTTTTTTAGGTTAAGAGCTCCTGGTCGGCCATTCATCGCCTATGATCCTGGGATGACGAGAGATGCTTTAGCATATTATGGCTGTGCTGAACTCTTTCAGGTACCTGCTAGAAGTTCTGAAGTCGTGATTAACAATGTGACTTTAACCTTTAAAATTCAAAGCTTATTTAGCATTTGGTGTATGTTGTCTCCCTTGACTCTTTTCTAGGATGTACATACTGAACTCATTCAGCACAGACGGTCATGGATGATCAAACGTGGGATTATAAAGGGGAAGCTTTCTGTGAATTCGGGGGAGCAACATCTTAATGGTTCTTGTCCACTTATGCCAGAAGAGGTAAGAAATTCAGCACTTCTAGTCATTATTGTCCATTTCTGCAATAAATCACTCATATTTAAGATGGAATAAATCTCATGTCCTCTTAACACATTAGGTTAGACAGTTCTCCAATTTGCCTGTCTGGTCAACCATGATCAAATTACAGTGTACAACATGTGAGATTGCTTCCGTCTTATCATACAGGATGTACATACTGAACTCATTTAGCTTTTAAAGTTCACTTTTTTTTTTTTTAACCTCAATGTTGTGCTGCAAACTTGTTATAAAATGGACAAAACAACGAGGAGTTAAGCCCATACAGTATACATGGTTGAAGACAACTTAATATGGTACTTTTACTATCAAATATGTTTAACAGGTTGGTATTCTTCTTCGTGCATATGGTTACTCCTGGGACACAATAATTTATCTCTCTGGAGGAGAGGTCTTTGGTGGCCAAAAGAAGTTAATTCCACTTCATGCTATGTTTGAAAATGTTGTTGATAGGACCTCCCTGTGCACGCCATGGGAGCTCAGTAAAATATATGGTCGTGAGGCCAACCTAATTGACAACTATCCAAGGACGCCACCTCCTGTTAAGGAAGAAATCAAACTTGAAGCATGGAAAACATCAGGCCCGCGTCCTCGCCCACTTCCTCCTCCCCCTGCGCGACCCAAATCATATAATATTGAAGGGTGGTGGGGTTGGGTAGCTGAGAGCGATAACGAGCCTGAGAGTACGGTTATGGAGTTGAGGACTAATGCTCATAAACTATTATGGGAAGCAATTGACTACACAGTCTCTGTTGAAGCAGATGTTTTCATCCCTGGGTTTGATCGTGATGGTAACGGGCGCCCAAATTTTGCTAGCTTGGTTATGGGGCATAGACTCTATCAGTCAGCGGGATCTAAAACATACAGGCCTGACAGGTGATTTTACTTCCAGAACTTTGTGTGTTGGCAGGTTTTATTTTAGCTACTTATTATTTTTTTGTTTTGTTACCTTTTTCTTTTGTTTTATCTGTGTGCTCTAACTCATGAAATTTTCTTCCTTGATGATTCAACATTACACAACATTCAAAATGATTGATAAAATGAAATCAAGATTTGACCTGATTTACTCTTAACTATTGTTACTTGGGCTCAACATCAAAACTTCTGGTGTTAGGCTGTGATGCAAACTTACAAAACTCAATCTGACCCTATCAACCACTAAGGCCTGTGGCCCGGTGGTATTTCCTCTCCTTTTAAAACGAAAGGTGGAGGGTTTGAGTTTCCCCAAGAGCATTGTGGGTTATTTGCCAGGACAAAAAAAAAATTTAAAAAAAATTCTGATTTTATCAATGACTGTGAGCATAAATAAGATTATATTCTGACACTTGTAGATCTATAAATGGGACTTTAGTGAATTTTTTCCCTTAAATTGTTTGAAGCAGTCCATGAGAGGCTTAAGAAAGAGTAAATTCAAATAAAGCAAATTATGGACGCTATATGATATCACGAGGCATAATACACTTTGGATCTTTCATGATTAGGTTTTGACTTGTATTGAGTCACGCAGTATGTTTTATTCAAGTTTATATGCTGCTGGTTCAGTAATTATATTTGTTTTGTTGAAGTTTTTTCCTGAAATCACATTTTCATAATTATCTGATTTTCTAGACATTGGTTGTAGTGGTGGTCCATGGTGCTTGTGCCAGATCGCGTTCTCCTCACCATGTAAATCAAAAGGCTAGGAAAGATCAACTGAAACTTTTATAGAGTCTGTAGTTGGTTTAGATGGGTTTAATGAGTTTAGTTATTAAGTTTCTAGTTTTCAAGTCAAAATCCTAGCAGGATTAGGAATATTTATCTTAATACTCTTTGCATTCATAAAATCAGTTTAAAAGTTTTAATAAAGATCAATTTTACACCCCTGTTGCCAAAAATATTCTAACAATAATGGGTGTGATGCCTATCGTAATCAAACACTTTTTTCTTTATATAACTTATTTTCCTCTTTAATTTCTGCTCTTTATTGGCCATCAAAAGTCACAATATACCTTGTTGAAGGATTTATATATTTAAGTTACACCCTCTCTAACAACTTAAGCTTTTGGAGTAGATGGTTGTTAACATGGTATCAGAGCCAAAAGGTCTCGATTTCAAACCTCACTGTCCCCTAATTAACCAAAAGAAGGCCACACGTGAGGGGGCTTGTTGAAGGATTTATATATTTAAGTTACACTCTCTCTAACAGCTTGAGCTTTTGGAGTAGATTGTTGTTAACAGACCTTATCCACCCTTTCTATGATCATAAGATCCTATTTTACGAGCATAATCCCTCAACTATTTCAACCTAGCACCAATAATTGCACAAACCAGCCCCATTACTCTTCATGGGTAGTGTTCTGTCTGAAATCAGCTCCAAAAACTTTTATTTTCTTAATTTCTTGCTTATATATATCCCGGAGCCCTTACCCATCATTTACACCCTTTCAAACCTTAAAACCCCATAACTCTGTGAACCTTTAGCCTTATAAAAATTGCAATAGCTTGCCTTAGAGAAGCCTTCTATAACCACTGCTCTACATCAATGTTGTTATCGGTCTTCTGGGTAAGTGTTTCTTTGTACCTGTCCTAAATCACATTTGATTGGTTTTCGTCTCATCCAAGGCAAAAGGATTACTTATATGGTATTGGATGGTTAGGACTTAGGACCATGTAATTGAGGACATATGCAGTGCACTAAGTTTTCCCGGCCTCCTTATCATCTGAATGAACATTTATATATTTTCCTGGGAGCACTCCCTTCTTGAGCGCCTTTAATTAAACCTTACTTATAAACCAAAAAAAAAAAAGAAAAACATTGTGCAACATTAAAATTAGTAACAAGTGTGAGACTGCACGAGTTTGGCTTGATTCTGACTGCTTTTTATGCATTATGTTATGTCACAACACAGTAATATTGATATAAATAAGAAACACGGTTTTGGCTTGATTCAATCTGTCACTCTTGCTACATCAATGAAATAAATATGTGAAAAGATCACATCTACTGGTTATGGTGAGAAAAGAAGCTAAAAAATAAACTAAACCAGAAAACAATTATGGTCATTGACTTGTATCCCATGCTGTGCAAGTTTAAATGATTATTAGATGCAATAGTACTTTTAGGACCAGGCTTCAAGGTTGTGTTTGTGCGTTTAAAATCTTCTGGTGGACCCATCACTTGATTGTCCAGCTTCGTAGTGGCTTCATTTATTTGTATTTCTTAACAGTACTTGTTCATGATATCAATTGCAGTTTTCTTATGCTAAGCCTAGGTATGCCAGGAGCCCAAAACAAAAGCTGGGAGTTATATGCTGCAATGAACGAGCCATAACAGAAAACCATATGTTAAAATACCAACAGGATATTTGTTTGTTTATTAACGTTCAAAGTGCTCTTGGAGTCTTGTCAATTTGCTATATTATTGAATTCCTTTTTTTTATTTTTTTATTTTTTTATCTCGGCACAGAAAAGAAGTTGCTAAGCTTTTAGAAGAGATCCGTGACCACTTATATGAAGCAAATCATACTTGGATAACATCAATACGCAGGCACCTGAGAAGAACCTTACTCGATGCATTGACAGAAAGGTCAACAAGATCGAAACCATTTTCTTTTCTCTCTCACCCAGTCCCTGAATGTTCTTGCTTAAGATCTGCCCACACCCAAACATCATCTCATGCTCCAACTGCTTCAAATCAATCACAAGTTGAGGCCATTCTTGGGGTTACACACCGTTGCCCTGCTTGGATGGACAGTAATCCGATCTCACAATCAAGGGATAAAGAAAGTGAGGAGGATCTTGATGAGGATGATTTCACCTCATCTGGACTGTTCTTCCAGTATAGAGGCGTAAATCATGAAAGCGGAGGAGAAATGAATAACAAAGAAGAAGCTCCAATGGAGGATCAAGAAGAACTAGAAGGTAGTGATAGATAATGGAAGGCAAGATTAAAATTGCAGTAGTAGTTTCCCTGAGCACCAATTTGTGTAAATATATTACCTTCTATTTGCTGATCCTAACAAGTCGGTCTGGTCCTTGATTTTAGCTCAACTTGGGTCGGATCAATCTTGTTCTGGCGTGCAGCATTTTTTTTGGTGAATTATAGTTAAAGTCCAAGTCCCCTGTGGAAATATTAGTGTAGTTTGAGGTAACCTCAACCAATTAGTGTAGTTTGAGGTAACCTCAACCAATTTTTGATGTAGTTCAACATATTTTTAGTTGCACACTCAATATTTGGATGACATTCTAACCCTGCTTCAAATGGATGTAACCTGGTAAAGAGCATAAATTGATGAGACTTGTTGGCCTGACATCTATTTGAATGTTATATATGAAATGGTTTTTTGACAGGATAACAAGGTAGGTACTGGGTTGTGTAGTCTGTGATGCAAAGAGATGTTTACAAGCCTAGTTACTTGTCATAACAGCAATTTGTGACCAATGCTGTTGTCATCAGTACATTTTTTTTTTTTTTCAATCATTTTAATTGCTAGTACTGATCAATAAAAACATGGTTTACACTTTCATGTTGTACTGTAAGGTGCCATTGATTGGTGCAGGAATACAAATTTGGATTGACAACTGGGAGGACATATAATTCATGTTATATTACAAGGTCACTGGTTGATGCCAGCGATAAAAAAAAATTGGCTTGTAAGGTGTGAGGACAACATATGTTCGAGTCTGTTTAAGTTTGAATGTTTTTAGAATTTATCTAACGTTGTTTCTAGAGTGTCGAATCGGTGTTATGGATAATTGGAGAAGTTTGAATTCATCCAATTCCAAGTCTAAGACCAAGTTTGAATTCATCCAATTCCAGTTCTAAGACCGAGTGTCGAATTGAAAAAGTTTGAAGCTCTCAAACATGACATAAATGAATCCACTGTGCATTCATAAATATTACAGTAATCTCAACAAAAATGGATGGGTGAAGCATATCTGACATATCTAGAATACTCAATCTTAGCCTAGAGAAATGAATAGAACAAGTGGGAATTTTCAATATATGCAAAGTCTCATACTAACATGTGAGCTACGGTCTACAAATAGAAGTGTGAATTAAATAATTCAATGTTTACATTTAGCTAACTCTCTGTTGATTTAAAGGTGTAAAATGATTTGGTTTAATAGCTAATGTTTGCATTCTTTACAACGTCAGGCTTGTGTTAGAGGCACTGAGAGGGTAAAAAAAAGAAAAAAGAAATAAAAAATAAAAGGCCACCGTTCAGTGTTGAATCTACCAGGTGCTGTCCAAAATCCAAATGCATTGATATTGTTAACCTAAACGTAGTATTATTTCTATAGAAACATCTATATACTTCTGAAAGGTGTACATTGTTTTATGAGTCTTAAAAGGAAATCCATTTGAATATGATAACAAAATTTTGTTTTTTATTTTGCTATTTAATAATAATATAAAGATCAAATGATTTTTCATTCATTTTATTTTCTACCAATCAAACAACACCATAAAAAGTCTTTTCTTTTAACTTTATATATCTTGTTGTCTAAATTTTTTTATTTTTTATTTAAATCGGTACCCCGTTGCTTAACTTTTTAACTCGTTTACATCATTATCCTTATTACAAGAAATATTTTATTGCTCGTATTATATTAATAACTTGATATCACCAACTAATTAAAATGTGACACGTAATGATAGGATTCCCCACTTATATGACTCAATGGATAATTTTTTTGTTTTTTTGTCACTCTCAAAACCGAACAAAACAATGCTACAATTTTGATAGTTCAAATCATTTAATAGTTTACAAATATTGATCATAATTTTAAAATATTCTAAAATAATTTTCACCGTACTCACAATTTCAATAGTGACGGCTAAATTAAAACTCACTTATCCTTCTTTTTTTTTTTGTCACTCTGAAAACCGAAACAATTTGATAATTCAAATAATTTATAAATATCGATCTTAATTTTAAAATATTCTATAGTGACTATTAACTTAAAACGGACTAGGATTCTCTAAGTTAAACTTCTCTATATTATCCTAAGTTGAATTGTTATGGTTTTAAAACGTGTCATTTCAATATATGGCTGACAACGCTCCATGTAATTTAGTGATAAAAAAAGGCTTGAAACGACAATGTTTTGAGAAAGAAAAACAACAGTTTTAGGTTTCCAACCGCCCACCTCTCTACCAGTATTCTTGGTTTGATTTTTTTTTTTTTTTTTTGTTTCATCCCATGCAATTATATTCTCCTATTTTTTTTTCACATTTCATTGTCTAGCCTCTATTCTAATTATTTTTTTATGTTTAAACCTGAACTCTGCTTTTCCAATTTCCTTCCACTGGACATAAAGGTTGGTTGTTCAATTTTTATTTATTTTTATTTCTTTATTATCTAAATCAATGAGATAATTGTGTTCTTTTGAATATATGATTTGTTGTTTACTACAAATTGGTAACTGCATTTGATTCCTTCTAAGTGTTAGTTATTCAATCTAAACTGAAAATTAGGGTTTAAACTCATCGATGATCACCACAAATTTGCAAATTTCACCACCAATTCTATACCAATCCACGAAGAACCCATTAGTTTCATGCATAAGAGACAAAAAAAAAAAAAAAAAAAAATTGGAAATTGAAAAAGTTTTAGCATTGATAATGACGTCTCTCTGTTCATTAGTTAGATAACTTTAGTTTTTATTTTTTTATTTTTAATTTACTGATGTGATGCATTATAAATCATAGATCTGTGTGACAAAGGCCACATGTCAAAGTTTCTAAAATTCAACTTGGGATGGGATAATGTAGAAAAGTTTTAATTTAGAGGATACTAATCCCTTAAAATCCATTTATCTACTTTCCAAATTTTATAAAACCCCTTTTTCCCTACTTTTATTTTTCAAAATTAATATTACTATTGTAAAAATAAAAAGTGATTACCAAACAAAAGTACAAAGTATTTTCAAACTTTTGTCACTATACTTTATATATACCGTGTCGGTTTGCCCTAACAGTGATTTTTATCAGAATAATAACCATACAAAATACTAAAATAGTGGTTCTCATCTATAATTTGTTTTTATGAAAATGACATTCTCATAAAGTCAATGTGTTTTTTTTCATTATAGATTACCACTATTATCCATGAAAACAATATTGGAAGAAAGCATTAAACAAAGGTTTGGAGAAGATAAATTACGAAGATGCAAACAATTGATAGAAGAAATAGTTAAAAAATAAGAAAAAAAATTTAATTTAATCAGCAATTAGAACCCAAATTAGCGTGTATATTATATACATAATAATACAAATAAAGGAACACGAAAAAAAAATAACCAAAAATAAATCTTTTTTAAAAAAGGAGAAAACATGTAAAATACTTATAATGCCACTAGCGACATGTGTACATAAAAGAAGCTAGATTTAAATGTAATTAATGTCCAATCCCAAATATTTGTTATTCATCTTATCCATTATGTTTTCAATATAGGAGCCGCATGTGATTTGCATGTAATTTTTATATCCTTATTTTATACACAATTCAATATACGGAGTAATAATTATCTATAAACTTCTAATTTGAAATAATTTAGCCCTAAAATAAAAGAAAGTTTAAAAATATTGTATATATTAATTCAAAAAGTATGTATAAATTATTCATATTCCTATTGTTAAATAATATGAATAATTTATATCAATTACTCATATAATTACATATCACTTGAACTAAAAAAATAGACCATTTTATACTTACTTGTTTAAGTATATCATTACTAGGGATGGCAATTTCCTCCAACCCGCTAGGTTTTTGCCCCGCTCCGCTCCTAATGGAGCAGATTTGGTAGCTCCATAAATGGGTTTGGAACGAATATGGTAAAAGAATTGAAAACCCGAAGCGGGTTTGGGGCGGGGGCGGGGGCGGATTTAGTGATGCCCCCACCCCAGCCCCGCCCCCGCCCCAACCCAGATTATATATATATAATATATATTTAATTTAAGTGTCCATTAATATATTTTGACTAAATATTCGCTAGAATCACTACTTACTAAAATTCTACAATTGCGCACGTTCAATATCTTAGTATTCTATTCTAAGTCCAGGAATTAATTCAACAGTTTCAACTTTACCGCAATTAAACGGAGTATGCAAGGCGGAGTTGGTATTTTGTCTGCCGAAATTGGGGCGAGGATGGTATACCAATTATAAACCATCCTAAGTCCAGGAATTAATTCAACAGTTTCAACTTTACCGCAATTAAACGGAGTATGCGGGACGGAGTTGATATTTTGTCTGCCGAAATTGGGGCGGGGATGGTATACCAATTAGAAACCCGTCTCGGAGTTGGAACGGAGTTGGTATGACGAATTTTTTAATGGAGCGGAATAGGGTTTAGCCAACTCCATCCCAACTCCGCCCCATTGCCATCCCTAATCATTACCATCCACTTGGAAAGGGAAAGAAGATATTATTGAACCAAAAGGCCCTTAGTATATTATATATAATTAGTATTCGTATTAAAATATTACTTAGTAGTTAACACTTTGAGAGATAGAGAAAATATTATTGGACCAAATGACCCTTAGTATATAATTAGCGTACAAAAATAAAAATAAATACTTCAATAATAAAACTCCTTCCGTATTAAAATATTACTCAAGTTAATACTTTTCTTAGTATATAACTAGCGGTATTAAAATATTACTCAACAGTTAATACTTTTCTTGTATATAACTAGCGGTATTAAAATATTACTCCGCAGTTTTTATTTTTGTTAGTTAATTGTCGTCCAGTAATATCTTCTCAGTTAATAAAGTATTTAGAGAAAAAATTAATTCGAAATATTAGCTTAAAAACAAAGCTATATCTGTAATACTCCGTAGCTTAAAAAGAAAGCATTATCACATCTATACTATTATTAAATGTGCAAAGTATTTAAGTGTTTTAGTATTTCAGTATTTATTTATTAATATAAAAAAATATTTATTAATTGATATAAAACTCTTAAAATTACTTAATAAAATTCAAATTATTAAATGTGCAAAGTGTTTAAGTGTTTCAGTATTTCAGTATTTATTTATTAATATAAAAAAAATATTTATTAATTGATATAAAACTCTAAAAATTACTTAATAAAATTCAAATTACCTAATAAAATTCAAATTACAAATTACATAATAAATCTAAGAGTTTCTATAAAATAAAATAAAATCTAATTAGACAATAATAAGTCTACCACAAATTACCTATTTTTATTTTCAATAAAACCCTATTAGACAAAGATATATTTAAATAGTTTTCATAAAACTCTAACACGAATTACTTATTTATCATAAAAGAAAATCTAATTATACGAGTATTATTAATATAAAAAATTATTTATTAATAGATATAATAAAAGGAAATCTAATTAGAGGAAGGATATATTTGAAGAAAATAAAATAATATATTTATATAAAACTCTACCACAAATTACCTATTTTATCTTCAAAAAACTCTATCACATCAAAAAAGATAAAACTTTATCACATTAGACAAAGATATATTTAAAGAGTTTCTATAAAACTCTAACACAAATTACCTATTTATCTATGAGTTTTTAATAAAAGGAAATCTAATTATATGAGTATTATTAATATAAAAAATTATTTATTAATAGATATAATAAAAGGAAATCTAATTAGAGGAAGGATATATTTGAAAAAAATAAAATAATTTAAATAAAACTCTACCACAAATTACCTAATTTATTTTCAATAAAACTCTATCACATCAGAAAAAGACATATTTAAAGAGTTTTATTTTATTTGAAATTCAATCAAGAGGGCACGTGTCATCAAGCCTATAAATAGAGGCATAGAGGAAGAAGAAAATGAGACAAAATTTGAGAATTCTAGAAACCTCCATAAAGTATCGGTCTTGAGAGACTTAAAAGTGTAGAAATTCATAGACTTGGAGTATCAAACCATCTCTGCCTTGAAGATGGAATTTCTCGCCTGTGAAATCCTAATTCTCATAAATTGTTTGAACTAAATATTGCCATTCTACTATTCTTTTAGATGTACTCCCACTTCATCAAGCAATTGGACCCTGAATTGTGTATGGTTGTGATTTGTGTTATTGGAAAAACACTTGTTGGGAGACTATTAATTGCAACTTCAGACTTGATACTGGAAGGAGAATTTGGAAGGTTTTGATTTCTTAGATCCCCATGTCCTTGAATTGTGTATAGTTGTGATTTGTGTTATTGGAAGAACACTTATTGGGAGACTATTAATTGCATTCAGACTTAGGGTTTACAGTTGATGCTGGAACCAAGTTAGGAAAGCCTAACAACAAAAAAGTGAAATAATTAAACCTCTGAGACCAATGCTACTGAAAGGAGAATTTGGAAGGTTTTGATTTCTTAGATCCCAAGCTCATGTCTTGTTGAATTTTGTCGAGTAATTGTGAATACTTTACATCACTCAACAAAGAAAAACTGTATACTATTAAATACTTTAGTTCTATAAAGAGTTTTATAATGTTTATTAATTAATATAAAAATAGTCTTTATAAAAAGAGTTATTTATGAATTAATATAAAAATAGATTTTATAAAACTCTAAAAATTACCTAAAAAAATACATCACCACTTTCAAATTACCTAATATTCAAATTACCTAATAAATCTATTCTATTATTAAAAAAGTTTCTATAAAACTATAACACAAAATATAAAAAAATATTTTTAAGAGTTTTATAATATTTATTAATTAATACAAAAAATAGTTTATATAAAAAGAGTTATTTATGAATTAATATAAAAATATTTTTATAAAACTCTAAAAATTACCAATTAAAATAAACCACCACTTTCAAATTACCTTAAAAAATTTAAATTATAAATTACCTAATAAATATATACTATTATTAAAAGAGTTTCTATAAAACTGAAACACAAAATATAAAAAATACACGGTGTTCCTTTTGCAAAAATAAAAAAAAAAACAAAAAAATTTATCAGGCAATACTGTTGAATACTTTAGTTCTATAGAGAGTTTTTATAAAAAGAGTTTTATAATAATTATTAATTAATATAAAAATAGTTTTTATAAAAAGAGTTATTTATGAATTAATATAAAAATAGATTTTATAAAATTCTAAAAATTACCTAAAAAAATAAATCACCACTTTCAAAATTAACTAATATATCTAAACTATTGTTAAAAGAGTTTCTATAAAACTGTAACAAAAAATATAAAAAAATATTTTTAAAAGTTTTATAATATTTATTAATTAATATAAAAATAGTTTATATAAAAAGAGTTATTTATCAATTAATATAAAAATAGTTTTTATAAAACTCTAAAAATTACCTAATAAAATAAACCACCGCTTTCAAATTACCAAATAAAATTCAAATTACAAATTACCTAAGAAATCTATACTATTATTAAAAGAGTTTCTATAAAACTGAAACGCAAAATATAAAAAATATTTATTAATTAACATAAAAATAATTTTATAAAAAAATATTTATTAATTAACATAAAAATAATTTTATAAAAAAAGTTTCTATAAAACTCTAAAATTTACCTGATGAAATCAATCACCACTTTCAAATTATTTAATAAAATTTAAATTACAAATTACTTAATAAAATTCAAATTACAAAAATAGTTTTTATAAAAAGTGTTTCGATAAAACTATAAAATATTTATTAATTAATATAAAAATAGTTTAAATAAAACTCAAAAAATTATAAAAAATTAATTAGTATAAAAAAATCTATACTATTATTAAAAGAGTTTCTATAAAACTCTAACACAAAATATAAAAAAATATTTATTAATTAATATAAAAAGAGTTTCTATAAAACTATAAAATATTTATTAATTAATATAAAATATTTATTAATTGATATAAAAAGAGTTTTTAAAAAAAGAGTTTATAAAAATAGTTTCTATAAAACTCTAAAAATTACCAAATAAAATCAATCACAATTTTCAAATTACCTAATAAAATTCAAATTACAAATTACCTAATAAATCTAATTTCTATAAAACTCTAACACAATATATAAAAACAAATTACATAATAAAATTTAAATTTTAATAATAGTTTTTATAAAAAGAGTTTCTATAAAACTATAAAATAATTATTAATTAATATAAAACATTTATTAAAAAATATTTATTAATTACTATAAAAAGAGTTTCTATAAAACTTTAAAAATTAACTAATAAAATCAATCAACACTTTCAAATTATCTAATAAAATTCAAATTAAAAATTACTTAATAAATCTGTACTATTATTCAAAGAGTGTCTATAAAATTTTAACACAAAATATACAAAAATATCACCATTTTCAAATTACCTAATAGAATTCAAATTACAAATTACCTAATAAAATTCAAATTATAAAAATAGTTTTTATAAAAAGGGTTTCTGTAAAACTATAAAATATTTATTAATTAGTATAAAAAAATCTATACTATTATTAAAAGAGTTTCTATAGAACTCTACACAAAATATGAAAAAACAATAAATTTATTAATTAATATAAAAATAATTTTTATAAAAAGAGTTTTTATAAAACTATAAAATATCTATTAATTGATATAAAAAGTGTTTATGAAACTAGTTTCTATAAAATTCTAAAAATTAACTAATAAAATTAATCACCATTTTCAAATTATCTAATAAAATTCAAATTACAAATTACCTAATAAATCTATTTTCTTTAAAATTCTAACACAAAATATAAAAAAATATTTATTAATTAATATAAAAAGAGTTTTTTTAAAAAAAGTTTCTAAAAAATTCTAAAAATTACCTAATAAAATTACGTAATAAAATTCAAATTACTTATACTATTATTAAAAAAAAATTCTATAAAACTCAAATATAAAATAAAAATTTATTAATTAATATGTAAACAATTAAAATATATATATATATAAAATTCGATAAATTACCAAACATTAATTACGCGCACCTTTTCCTTGTATATTTAAATACCGTTCCGTACCCATATTAGCTTAAAATTAGTTGCTTCCTGGCTTTTGACGAGGGAGAAATGGGCCTCCGATTTGTAGAACTCGAATATGGTCTTGCCCCTCGATGTTCGGGTGTCTCTGGTCGCTGCTCTCTTGCCATGCACTCTTTCTCCTCTTCAAACTCTGTCCTTAGGGTTTGCTTCAATGGCGATCGCCGCCGCGCATCTTGTTATTCTTTCTCTCCAAACGCCTCTTCGTTAAGTTCCATAGACCCAATCGTCGTTCCTCTGTGTTTCTTTTTCTTGCTTTTCTATTTGATTGTTTATGATTTATGCGAGGTTTGCTATATCTTGTGTGCCAGACCATCATCTTTTCACTAAAACCCTAACCCTAACCCTAATTGCAAGCAGATGATCAAACCCCACCTCACCAGCGAGGCTTGGTTAGTGTTCCCCTTCTTCTCTATATATCTCTCTCTCTCTATATATATATACACGTGCACACAAATCTGAACATGAATATTTGTTTGTCCAGTTCTTATAATTTCGTTTGCTTCGATTAGTTTAAGATTTTTCGGTTGATTTTTTTATTTTATTTTATCTTATTTTTGCTAAGAATTTTCAGTGGTAACATGTTTGTATGGTTGGTTCTTCGAACATGTTTGTATCTATCTATATACATGTATAGATCCTATTCGACTGATATGATTTATGCCCGGTTTGATCGACTATTATTCTTTATATAAATTTATTTATATAAATTTATGTCGATACGCAACCCACTTAATAGAGATTTTAATGCCGGGAAACAGGTTGGCACTTTCACGATAGCACTTCCAAAATCTGTCTGCTCATCTCACTTTTCCTGATGTTTTCTGCACTAGATGTCGGCACTTATATATATTTTTTATTTATTGCACTCACTAACAAGATTTAAATATTTTTTTGAGCATAATCTTGCTAATTGGCATGAAATTATCCCAAACAAACATTTATGTATAAATTTCCAGGTTTCCCTTGCCTTTTTGCGTTATTACAGAAATGTGGCTGCTTAAAAGTTCCCTCTAACGAGGTTTGTCTATATCTAGTTAGAAGCAAAAAGGTCCTTTGTTGAATATATATATATATATTTTGTTACAACATACTATCATAGATTGTTATCATTTGCAATCTATATTTTTGGCATCATTGTAGGTCAAATTATGGGTACTTCATTTGTACTCTTGGTGTAATTTCAATTCTTTTGTTAGTTGCTACCGTATGTGTTTTGGTGTGGGGTGACAGTATTTGCTAGTAGGTCGGAGGGCTGGATGTTTGGAAGGAAAGGTAGGGGGGAGTTGGATATGGAAGGAAGAGTTGAAAACTGGGGAAAGAGGTTATGGAATTAGAGAGGAGGAACTGGGTTCAGTTGAGGTTGTAGTGGTCCAAAGGAAGTCATTTTGCCAAGAGGAGGTCCAAAATGACAATTTATCATAATAGAGAAGAACAATAAGTTGTAAAATGTCCAATTTGATGTACCCTGCTAGTCATGTTTTAAACTGCGAACCATCTAAATCCTGTACTGAAATGTATCATGGTTCAAGTCCTAGATTAAATGATGGCCTTCTATATGCTTGCCTGCTGGTTACTCCTGCAGGATTGCCTCAGGATTTATATATATATATACATACAGATTTCTCAGTAATGGAGTTCCAGTTGCGTGCTGAAAATTGAGCAGTTGTGGATGGGTTCTTAACCATCAAGTGAAATCATTACAGAGTGGAGGTGCAATGTTCCAATAGCAATTGTTTGGGTAGGCCAGAGTGAACCTTCTGGTGTGATTGGATTCAAGTTGAAGCAAGTACAACAGACAAGATACCGAAAAGTACGACAGTTGTGGATTGACGTCGTGAATAAAGATGAAACTTACTAGGAATATGTGGATTTAGAACTGATAGCGAAAGTAACAATTTGTTATTAACCCTAAGTAGTTGAGATTTAAGATTTTGTGTCGAAAAATGATTCATCATCATCATCCTTGCCTTTGTATATTTATTTATGTAATGTGATTCATCCAGTATTTCGTTTGCCTTGAGTAAGTTTAGACTGCCTTAGTTAATGTATTGCTCTCACAGGAAGCTCAACATGAATTTTATCTACTTATTATTTCTCTCACAAAATTTCTCCACAATTTCTGGTTTCTGCAGGGTGTACTTGTGCAGAGAGTTGAGCCCATTTCTGAGTCCAGTAATGTCGTGAAGGAGGTATGCTTCCTTTAAGAGTTTACTTGAACATTCTTAATATGCATCTATATTTGCTAAATGTGATCGTGTAGGAAAACTTGCACTGTTTGTAATTGCAGTGCTTCTGAACGTAGGCCAATGGATCTCCAGATCATAACCTCTAAATTATTGGGCACTCTATCAATATTCTTTTCATTTTTGCTCTCTGCCACAATCATCGAATCAACTTATAGATATGATTTCCGACACTCCCCCTCAAGGATATCAACCTCAGCTTGACTTATTCGAGCCTTTACACAATTCTCTCCTTTTTCTTATTTTTACATTTCTACTTGGTATCAGAGCCAACACCTTTCCACACCTTTCAGCAGCCTTGCTACTTGTGTGACAGCCACCTTAGGCTATTTGTGACATCGTGTGACGTTGCTACACATGTTTTTCTGTGTTGCTGTTTTGTGATCGAAAACAGGTATTTTTAAGTTTTACAATTTCTCTTTTACTCTTCTAGGGTTGGGTAAATTGGGATAGTTAGTCTCCAACACCTAGAAGGGCTTGGGTAAAAAAAATTTAGCCTATATGTGTGTAGTGAGCCTCTTGTAGTATTCTTGTTTGAATTTTGTTATTCTTTTATTTCCCCACCTAACAAATAATGATACAAGTTTCTTGGGTTTCTGGCTTTTCGTAAGATTAAAATTCTGAGAATCAACTAATACTTGTAAATTTCATGTTTTTTCGGGGGGATGTGATTGTAAGCTTTGGTGGTGTTTGTGTAGGGTGTGAAGGAACAATGCCATTTAGATAAACTGAGCACATAACATTTCGCTACCTCATTAGTTTAAAGTAGCATGTTCTTATTCTTTGTTAAGAAATTGAATTTCTTAGCTCATTTTAGTGGCCACACAGTAATAAATGTAACAAGTCCTTGCAAATAATATTTAAGCTGTCAAATACCTTGCAATGACTAGGTCTATAACTGAACCAAGCTTCCGACAAACTGCTCGAGTTCGGCTCATTAAGAGCTCGGTTCGTGTTCGTTTATTTAGTTAACGAACCAAGCTCAAACATGATTTTGAAGCTCTATTAATAAACGAGCCAAACTCAAACAATCCCCTACTTGGCTCGTTTGTTTGTGAACAAAGCTCGTGAACATGTTTGCTAACATAAGTAATTATATAAATAATAATTATTATAATTATAATAATAATGAGAATCTATATATTAATATATACCCAACCCATTTAGGATATATCTACTTGGCTCGTTTGTTTGTGAACAAAGCTCGTGAACATGTTTGCTAACATAAGTAATTATATAAATATACATATTAAAAATAATAATAATGAGAATTGATATATTAATATATACCCAACCCATTTAGGTTATATCGAAAGCCCATTTAAATAGAATTAAAATTAAACTTAACTCTTAGCCCAATTGAGGCCCATACACAAATAAACTCTTAAGCCCACACACATATATATATATGCCAAACCCTAATCTAACCTCCCCATCTATTTTTCTTCACATTGCGGCATGCAGTAACTGAAGAAAGCTCTTCATCTGAAAGTGTCTCTCTTCTTCTACAACGTGTTTCTCTCTCTTCAACGACTGCCATCCAAAGCTAATTTTACCTTCTACCAATCTCTATCTCTTTCGCACATAATGTGTATACAATGACCGACAGCCCGTAGAAAGCTAAATTTTCTCTAGAAAATCTATGGAATAATTTTTTTTAAAAAAATTACACTTGTGTAATATATATATATATATTTATATATATGTATGATATGTTGTATTTCTTCTGAATCTGTACTCCAATATATGTGTGTATGTACAATATGAAGCGTGTGATACACAGTTGCAATAATGAGCTTCAAGCTTGGCTTGATTGGTCGCAAACTTTGTTCAAGCAGAGCTCAAACACACTCTTGTGAAAGCCGAGCCGAGCTCAAACAGCCTAGTACTCGGCTTTGCTCGGCCCGTTACAGCCCAGCAATGACACATTACTTTCTTGGCAATTTACATTTAACAATAATACTGTTGCACTTCGTTACTCTAGCTTTCCTACTCTTACACTTCAATTTATCGGGATATGTGCAAAATGATTTATTGACTGAAATCATGTTTATTTTACGTGTATAATATTGTACAACATAATCTACTTAAGCTAAGAGGATCATGTCTTGTTGGCCCAACTGGAAAGTCCCTGCAGTATTGTATGTTTCTCTGGTTGAGACATGTTTTTACCTATATCGCTGATACTATTTGTCCAATAATCACAAATTTGTAGTTTTCGTCTTTGGTCGATGTTCCAGTTCAGGTTTGCAGGTGGTGTAGTGGAGCTTGGTATTATTAGAGCTGGACCTTTCTTGAAAGTTCAAGCAGTTTTGAATCCATGTGTGCATTTGGTATGCAAAGAGAAACTTGGTTTTCTAATGACATGAACTTTGATACCTTGATAACATTAATTTTGTTTTGGTGTTGATTAATTTGGGTTCCTAATGATCTTACCTCAAGTTCCCTATCACACTAACGGGGCTCAACCTTAGTATTTGATAGTTGCTAGCTTGGTTTTTTCCACTCATAAGAGTACGTTTTATGAGATCTTTGTCTCCCAACAGTATGACAGTTACATGTCTCAGATTTATTTATTTTTGGCAACTAAAGTTATTACCGAGCTAACTGAATTCAATTATTTTGACAGTGAGGAGTGTGAAGACAGATAGGAGTAGGTTGTTAGAATAACCGATGACACCTTATACCATGATATTAGAAAACTACTCAATACCTTGCTCTGCCGAGCCCAAATCCACCAATTTTTTACCGCATGTTCTCAACAAAGATATGTAGGGTTTGGTAAATGTCATGTTGCTGTTGGGGCAGTTGTGGGAGGTAGCAGTCAATTTATCTTGGTTTGTGCTTATCTACGTTTTGAAAGATGTGAAACCGTATATGTGGTATTATTTCTCCATCTTTCCATTTTTACTGCTCTGCTTAGTTCTTAATCTTCCTTCATCTATATTTTCTTTTCCACCCTTTTGTTATGAAAATTCATGGATCCTTCATCCATGTTTCTCTTTTTGCTGCTCTATTTAGTTTTTAATATTCCTTAATCTATATATTATATATATTTTAATAATTTATCAATGTATTCTCAATAAATTCATCTGATTGCAAAGGTTTTTATTTACAACCTTTAAAAGTTAAATTTGAAGTTGCATTATTCATCACCTTGTGTAATCAATAAGAATTCATTTATAAGCAATCAATTTTTTATATATAAAAGATTTCAAGGTGTATTATCACTGCATTGAAGGCGACTAGGGTTACAGGGGGGAAACTAGGGTTATTAGATTCCAATGATTGATTTTGAAAATTTAAATTTCATGGATTTGTTTTTTCTCGTTGCTTATCATCAGAATAGTAGAGGGGCACATTCAATCCATGTTTGTCTATTAGTTCTCAGTTTTTCTCTTCAGTGCGGAGTAGAGCAATTAGGTTGCTTGCAAGGTCATCACCTTGAGATCACGGGTTCAAATCCCGTCTCCGCTATATTTTCTTTTTATTCTCGGTTTTTATTTTTCCGGCAGTGCAATGGATTGTTTTTTATTTTTATTTTTTTGTGTTTCACTCTTTGAGTAGCTGTTGGTTTTTCTTTACTTTTTCCCTTGTTTTTGCAGTCACATTGATGAACTTGCTGAAAGTTAAAGAGCCTTTTGTGTGGCTTGACTTCATAATTTTATTGGACTATATCCTGTGATTAGTTGAAAACAGAAGAGAAAATCCAACTATCTATTTTTTTTGTTCTTTCCTCCTGTGAATTTTTTTCTTGAACTCTCTTTTTGGTGTTTACAGGCACTTAGTTATTCTGCTTGTTTGTAATGCAATTCCAGTAGACAGGCTTTTGGAAGAGCTAAAGAATCTCTAACTGATCAATCTTTTGCTTTTTAAGTATTTATAAGCTAAAGCTGTTAGAGTGCCGTTTTTGCTTGTTAGTTTGTCTTGTAAGGGTTCCAAGACATTGGACCACTGCTTGATGTGTTTTTACAGAAATTAGAGAATCCATCTCTACATGTCTGCATAAAAGTCTCATTAGGTTTGTCTATACCTAGTTAGAAGCCAAACGGTACTTGGATTTGCTGTTTTAAATAATGACACACGCTCACATTTTTTTTTTCTTTTTTCAGCTTACCGCTTATCATAGATTTGCTGAATAAATTAATGTTATATTTTACTGAATTTTCTGAATAATATATCCTTAGAAACTAGAAAGCAACCATTGTTGATTCATAAACTAATATTTGGAATTTTAATGTCATGGGTTTGTTCATAATAATCTGTGTTATAGCAGCAATTTATCATCTTCCTGATCCATATTAAAAGATTGCTTATTCATATTTCTTCTAATGCGAATGATACTCTGTTATGGTAATTTGTGAATTAAAAACTTACGTACACTTCAGGTGGAACAAAGAGGAAATATGTTACTCGTGTAAAATTGATCATAGTAGTCTTTTGCATGGTGAACATATCTTAGAGTCAAAAGTTTGATTAACTCTTTGACTAAGCTATGTACACACAAAAACCTTCATTGTTACCTGCAGTACTCCTGAATGTTAAAGTTGTGATATATCATACTTCACTTTTTCTCTGATTGAGTTATCGTTCCCTAAATTAACCTGCCACTGAAATTAACTTAGCGTGATTTTTCTACTATCTTGATGACTAATTCATTTAATATTCTTGCCTTTCAAGTGAAGAAGTGTCTTTTTTTCCTATTTGTTATCATTGCTGTTTTCATTTATTTATTTGTGTTGATTGTAAGAATTTCATGCAACAATGTTGTGAATTTGGCAGCGATTCTTAATCTTGGATGAACATTTTTTTTCATAAATATTTCTGATGAACATTGATGAGCTTGAGGGCAGTATTACTGGTTGATTTTAAGTATAGTTATTGCTGCATCATTTGCCCACTCCATCTGGAGGAGGTCTTGGCAGTTTTCTAAGTTATGTTGTTTGTTAAAGAGGGTATTGGCATTCTAGGCTTTGTTGTTTGGTAAAGAAGGTATTGGACTGTGGACTTTCCTAGATTTATTTGTTTTTTGGTTGGACGGTGTAACCTCCTTTGGAGGCGTTGTAATGCTCTTGTTTCTGTTAAATTATATGCACCTGAACAATACACACACACACACACAATTGATGTTCTAGTTTGAAAGCTTTCCTCTTACACATCATTGATTATTTTAGAATGTCCTGGAAGATCATGAATCTTCTTTCTTTCCATGTTTAGTTTCCTCGTAGTCACGACCTTGGAGATAGTTTCGTTGGTTTAATGTATTACCAAGTCTGAACACTTTAGAGTGCCTGTTGTTCAGTTGGACGTGAACCATGAATACTTTCTTTTTCATTCCTCTCTTTTGATTTCTTGGAAGTAATTAGGTTATTATCTATAGTCTCTAACATTTATATGGTATAAAATTTTTGAATTTCTGCTTTGTAGGGTTACATGCAAAGGCTTGGCAGTGTTACAGAACCCCCCTAATGGTTGTGCTTTGAAGTGTTTCTTGCAAAGGCTGTGGTCTGCTCTGTCCTTTATTTCTTCTTCTGTTTTTTTTTCTTTTTTTTTTTTCCCTTTGTAATTCATTCTTCACTTACTGTTCCATTTCATGAGGTAATTCTGCATATTCTGGGCTTAGTGCATTATCTTTACACAAGCTGTTCCAAGGTTCATTGCATTATCAGACTGGTACTTTCACCAACTCTGTTTCTTTTCAGGTTGAAGGCTTATTTTCAAGATAATTCAAGAGAACAACTTATGGGTTTCATGAAACCCTATCTGCGGGCAAGTTCTTTTTTTGTTTTTTTACCACTGGTATTAGTCACATGATCACATCTGGATTGCAGTATTTATTACAAGGGAAAATAAAAATCACATATATATTTAAATTCTGAAATTATTGCAATCGCATCCCCCAATTGTCTAAAAATTTGAGCTATGTACAAATTTTAATACTAGATTATTGGGAAAGGAGAGGGTAATGTGTATTCCTTTTATCACCTTATCTTTTCCCGTGTCTTACCATGCCTCCGGTGGAGTTTGTAAATTTTTTCTTCAAGAACCTACTGAAGCAAACACTTAGTGAGCGGTGAGCTTAATTAAGTGTGTGCGCGCAAGCAAGTTTTGCAACACAGACCAAACTGTCCACACATGCATGGTTATGTTCATCTAGCTAGAATGATTGTTAACAGATTTGGAATTTTAAAAGAAAATCACTTCATTTTGCACCATATAGGCTATATACCATCAAGAGTCGTATAAACACACAATAAAACAAGCACTAGCCTTACGGCCCTTACCCTGCCACCTAAACAATTTTACCTTGGTGCATGCGGTTTAGTGTGTAATATTTGAAAAGGTTTGTTTTGTTATTTTACATGTGTTACCATTGCTTCATCTATGGTGTTCTGAGCTAAAAGGCTTGTTTTGTTATTTTACATGTATTACCATGGCTTCATCTATGGTGTTCTGAGCTTTCCTTTTTCCTTTTTCCTTTTTCCTTTTTCCTTGATGCTTTTTTAGCTTCCATAGGCAACCAAGCAAAGGTGTAGACTAATGCTTTTTTAGATTTTACTTTTTGCTACTTGTGAAGTGACTTGTCTTTTGGTCAGCTGAGATCGAAGTGGTATACGAAAACCCCAACTTGAAGATAGCTGTGAGGACTAGATTGGTAGTGTCACCATATGTAGCTCTTGTCTAAGTGAATTGAAGAAACCATTTGCTAACATGTACTTTGTTGGGTATGTAGTCATTTTATTCTTTTTGTTTTAGTTTTATATCATGATTTTATTAGTGTTGGTCTTTTGTAATTTTTGCTAGCATAATGAATTTGTCGTGGCCAAAGAAACAGACTTTATTAAAGGAAATTTTATGCAGATGGTGATTCTTGGTCACACTGGGATGCTTTAGCGTTGAGCATATAAATTGAAATATGTTGAGTTATGCAGTTGGGCTAATGGCCCAATGATTAATTGTGAATTAGTGACGGTCTTTACTGTTTGTAATTATTCATATATTTATATGCAGAATGATGTATGAATGTTTAGCGGTGATATGTTTCTATTTATTGTTTGTCAAAAAATTGACCGCATTGTTGGTGACTTGGTGTAATGCGTGGGTCTTGTCCATTTACCTAAAAACTCAAATTGTAAGCTCAAATTGTTAGGTAGTGCTGCATATTTATCCATTTATATCCAATTACTTTCCTATCTGGGTCCGATGCGCTGCATATCTACCCATTTATATTCAATTACTTTCCTATCTGGGTCCGATGCGGGACAAATGATCCCCGGTAACATTCTTCCTCAGCCAAACTCGCAATGCTCTCGTTGCGGTCTGGTCACCTTGTCTACTCGGGGTAATTCACTAGGATGCCTTTCGGGTCGGGCGCTTGGCGTGCCACCGGATCAAGGATTGAGTTTGACTTTGATACAAACTGTAACGGGGTGTGCATTTGTCTATTTATTCAAAAGTTCAAGCTGTTGGGTAGTGTTGCGTACTCACTCATTATACCTAATCACTTTTCTATCCGGATCCGATGTGAGACAAATGACCCCTTGTAACACTCGGCCACTAGAAGCACATGCTGAAGTTGTAAAAATTGAAATGTTATCAATGGGCTAGTGGTTCCCGATTTTTCAAAAAGTCTCAGTGGCATGTATGTGTGAGTATCAATTACGAAAATAAAAATAAAAATTGAAATGTTAGATATTGGTATTTTTTCCATTAAAAGTGTTCTAATTTGCTCTTTTGTATTTTTGTGTACTTGTTTTGCTTTTGTTTTCAATTGTAATACACATAAAAGGGTGCGATTTTGTGACTTGATTAAGTGATACATGCAAAGGCTGCTAAAGAAGTTCAAAAAAATTGTGAAAGATTTAATATTTAATTATTAATGAACTGAAAATTAAAATTTTCTTAAAAAATGGATACTTTTCAAACAAGTAAGAGAAAAAAATGTTAGCCTACCCGGTTGCATACTTGTTTTTGGGTTGGTAGAACTCTAATTAATGGTAAGAATGATGCAACTGTTCTGACTCACATTTATATTTTCAAATTTTTCTTTTTATATGAAAGATGTGTACAAATAATTTTTGGGAATTCGATAAATTAAAGAAGTTAACTTACCTGCCTTAAAAGAAGTTTTATGGGTATGACTTGAAAGAAGTTTTATCGGTATGATTTAGTGGATCAAATTATTATTATTATTCTTTTTATCTTGTCAAAAAGTACTATATCATTAAATTATCAAAACTAATGAAAATTGGTAAAAAAAAAAAAAAAAAAAAAAAAAAAAAACTAAAATTTGTTTGTTTTTACGGAAAATATTTTTTTGGGAGAATAATTTTTTTTTTTTTTTTTTCAAGTAAAATATATATATTTTTATATTTATTTTTCATGGCAAATGATTAGATCGAAGTTGAGATCGAGTCCATCGGTGATGTGTAAAATAGCTTACTGAAAATTTATGAATAAATTATTTTTGTTAAGTTTTAAATTTTTTTTCCTTTATAAATATTTTACGATAATCAAATACTAAAAAATTAAAAAAAAAAATTATTTTTAAAAATTATTTTAGGCTCAAACAAAACAAGAGTACGTGTGTTTTGATGTTTCCTTTTTCAGGTAAAATATATATTTTTTTATTTTTACTTTTTTGGTGTTTGGTAAAGACCTAGATCGAGGTTAATGACGAGTTCATTAGACGGAACATGTAAAATAAATCGAAAATTAATACGTAAGATATTTTTGTTAAATTTTTTTGAAAATTTCTTCGTAAATATTTTATGAAAACCAAATACAAAAAATATATATTTAGGCTATGTTTCTTTGAGCGCAAAATATTTTTTTTATTGAATTTTTATGTGAGAAAGTTTTGTTTGTTTGAGTGTAAAATATTTTAACGAGAATAATGGTGACTGCTAAGGTGCGCACGCTAAGTGACTGCCATTAAATTGACTCCTTATTTGGTAGTGATCTGGTAGATGGGGTGGTACTGAATTTTAATGTGAATGAATTTTCACTAGGGTCCACCCTTTAACGGTAAATTTTTTTTATGTGAATGAATTTTCATTTAGGCTTCAGGGTAAAATTTTGTATGTAAATGAATTTTTATTTAGGTTATGTTTTTTCGAGCGCAAAATATATTTTCTATTGAATTTTTATGTGAAAAATATTGTTTTGCGCTCAAAGAAACATAGCCTAAATAAAAATTCATTCACATACAAAATTTTACACTGAAGCCTAAATGAAAATTCATTCACATAAAAAAAAAAAAAATTTACCCTCAAAGAGCGGCCCCTAGTTAAAATTCATTCACATAAAAATTCAGTACCACCCTATCTACCAGATCACTACCAAACAAGGAGTCAGCTTAATGGCTGTCACTTAGCGTGCGCACGTTAGCAGTCACCATTATTCTCGTCAGTATTTAGTTTGGGAATGCGTTGTCTAGGGTTTTATATCTGCACAAGTGTACAATTCTATTTTCCGATTCCTGGAGAAGTTGTCTGCTTATTGCCGGAGCGCCATCGCCGGATTCTTTAACCAACCCGTACACCTTAATCTTTCTCGCATACCCCAAGTTAGTCTCTTTCTGTGTCTGTCTATATATATTTATATATAATATATCTATTTTTATGCGACATACTTTATTACTGTCTTTATCATTCATTTCTCATTTAAATCATTTTCTTGCTTCGTATTTGGACTTAGTCATCATTGAAGACTTGAAGTTCTAAGGAAATGGTGAGAACTGTGAAAAATCGCCACGAAGAGGAAGAAGATGATGACGAGGAATTCGATTCGAGGACAATCGATGGCTCTTCTCAAAAAGGTATGCCATTGGGATCTTCTGTCTTGTACTCAGAGTTTTAACACCCTTTCTCTGTGAGTATATGTGAACACACGCATATATATAAATCTTTATTTTATTGTTATAATTTTGTAATTAACAGTAAGAGTAGATGGGAAGACCGCTGATCAAAAGACGAACACTCTTCGTTCGAAGCATTCCGAGACAGAGCAGCGCAGAAGAAGCAAGATTAATGAGAGGCAAGCATGATAGACCTTTTATTTAATTTTCTTTATTTATTATTATTTTTTTTCTTTGGGGAAGAGGGATGATATGCCATAATTTGATTAAAAGCTTCATAATTGGAATGTGTGTTTATTTTATGAGTGTCACATAGGTGACTCTGTTATCAAATATCTTAAGATATTCTTTAGGGGAAATTCGGGGCCTCTACTACAAGGCTTTATCCAAGTTATATTTCCTCCTCTTTTCAAATGAAAGGTTGAGGGTTGAGTCCTAATGTCCCATTAATGTGTGAGTATGTCTTACCTTCCTAAAAGAAGAAAAGTAAAAAAAATGAAGAAAAAAAGTAGGTCCTCTTGGAGTTAAGAGAAGACTAGCCATATGGGATATAATTTTTTTTTTAAGAGCTAGATTCACCTTAATTCAATCTACCCTTTTACACTTCTTCCCCATCGCATGATGGTATACTGATTTTCTGGACAGCAGAGGCCAGAGGGAATCAACAATACTTTTATTCAACTGAATTTAAGCTAGCAACGTTTCCATTACACACTGGCGATTGGTAAGAACTGAGGGACAATGCCCCCTAAGCTAAGTGGGGCCTACCAGCGAAGCAGTAGGTACTTATCCGGCTGCCCTTGTAGCAGGAAGAGGGAGTTGTCATTTGAAAGGAAACGCCTCCTCTGAACAGGGGTGGCTCAAAGAAATATGATCTGGTTGGCAGCACCTTAAGTTGTCTAGAGGTCTTTTTACTGGTCATTGTGTGGATAGTCAGAAATAATAATTGGTGAATTTTGGTGATTTAAGAGGAACTGAACATATTGCTACGAGGTGTTGCAAGCATGCATATGGTATCTGCATAATTGGATTGATGCTAATCATGCAAATTATTGAAACTTGAAGAGTACTGTGGAATGGCATTCACAAAGTTTAAGCCTCTCACCTCTTTCATTTGTCCATTAGATATTATATGGAATCCGTAGGAGTCACTTTTAGATTGATATTTGGTGTTGAGGAGTCCATTCTATTCTTGACTTCGTTATCCTTGTTGCCGTCTGAAATCTTGTATTGTTCAATTTTGTCCTGTTACCCACTTGGCCTTCGTGGGAGTTTATCTTTAGGAGAAACTTAAATGTCTGAATCATAACACTTAGTAAATGCTCAATAATGTTATGTTTCTACTTAATTTGAAGACAATTGAATTTGGGCATTTGCATCCAATGGTGTTTCTTCATGCACATGCTTTTTTTGAAGCCAATTCTACGCCTACTTTCTCTTCGTGTCCCTCTTACAAATTCATTTGGATTTTTTTTTTTTTTTAAAGAGAGAAGAAATGACAAGATCTCTCTGTGCATTTGGTCTTATTCTAAGAAAGTGGCGGGAAAAAACCTTCCTTCCACAATGAGTTTGGGAATTTTTCAACAAAGGTGGAAGTGTTTGCTTGGATATAAAGCCGTTATGTGGTTCATAAGGAAAAAATGGCACATCCATCCTTTGAAAATTCCTCTGGCTTCAAGGAAACATTCCTTTGAAAATTCCTCTGGGTTCAAGGAAACAATCATATACAAAGTTATTTACCAGTTTCCTTAAGGCTTCTATTTCACATTCATTCAAGGGGAATTCCTTTAACCTTGATTTCTAGTGATTGATAGGCAGTCAATTATTCTTAAAGAGCTAGAATTTTGTTGCTTTGAGAAGGCTATAGAGACTAAAGGTGGGGCTCTCTGTGCAAGGTTAATACATAATGAGTTTTGACACATTCTTAATATAATCAAGGAAGCTTTTGATGTTTTTAAATCATGAGTAGTCTGTTTTATAGATATCTTGCAAGAATAACGTTGGAGCGGACTATATATCGTGAAGCATGTGGTGTTCACGTTGCAAGATTAATTGATGATTGTTATTTGCTCGATAGACTCCATGTAATGGGAAATGTAGATGTTTCTTTTTGTTGCTCTTTTTTTATGTTTATTATTAAAAATGTACCTTACCTTACCTATTTGGTTCATTTTTTCCTTTTTAATTTTGAGAATGGGATAGTTGGCTTTTCGATTTTGATGTTGATTCAGACTCAGGAACACCTTTTCTCTATAGAGCTTTAGGAGTAGAGGTATTGCATTATGGAAATTTACATTATTCAAGTGTTTTTTGGGTGGTTATCCTGATTAGATCTCTGTATCTAATTAATTTCAGTGTCATATTCCAGATCTGCCTAATTCCACCACTCCCTGTGTCATTCTCCACAGTAATGGCTTACTACAATCCTTCCCAAGCATCTGGTAATTTTTGGTTGCCTTTCTACCATCACTTTGGTTTTCACCAAGCCAATCAAATCTACATCTTGGACTTTTTCTATGAACTTTGGCTTCTAGTGCTATTGCATGTCTTAGTGGTGGCTTTGGGGTAGTTTTGGCGCATTTCTTATATAAACAAGGAAACCATTGATGTTTATAAATTTATGAGTATTCTGTTTTATGGATAAGTTGCCTTTTAATAATACAATTCAACATTTAATTCTAAACAGATTAATTGCTTATCCAATCAGGTGTGTTTGATAATGCAATTTAAATATCACTTAAAAAATAAGAACTGCTTAAAAAGAAAAAAAAAATAAAGTGACAATGACATCACTTATTACTGAATGCTGATCATTTAAAAGCCAAAAATAATTATTAAAAAACTCTCAATTTGCAATTACCACTTATAATTTTAGCACTTAAAATTTAGATCTTAAAATTTTCATTACTTAATTTTCATTTTTATCAAACAACACCTAATTTGAGTGCGGCACACATTTTTTATAAGAGTGGGGTGCCAAAGTTGCAGGATTCATTGATGATTTTGAGCTGCCTTGATAGAACACCATGTGATGGGATATGTGTTTTTTTTTGTTCCTTTATTTACTAAATATGTATTTCACCTTACCCTTTTCTTTTTTTTTTTTTTCTAATTTGAGAATCCTTTATCTCATTATTTTATTCTTAATTCTACCACTACCCAAAAATGAGAAATGAAAAAGAAAAAAAAGCTTATGGCAGAAGGGTATAGTTGGCTCTTGTATTCTGGAAATTGATATATTGCAAATTGATTCAATTGGTTGGTGGTGGCTACGCACATTCAAGGTGCTCCCTTAATTGTTAGTAAGAACATTACATGTCTTCGCTTTCATCTTTTAAGCTGTTTACTTTTCAAAAAAACTCGAGGCGAATGTGACTTTTAAGAGTGTTTGGTGTTACATGCAGCTGCATCATTTTGATCACATTTTTTATTAGTTTTGCTGCTATCTTTACCTGGTTTCGCAGTGATCACACTTTAATTTTTGACAGTACCTGTCTGAGTGGGTTTGAGTTACAAGTGATTGGTTTTTAGATAGAAACTCTATCCTATGATAAATGTTTGAATACTTCTTGCTCTTCCCCATATGCAGTTTTTGTGAACGTAGTTCTGCATGAAGTTGACAAATATTGAATGTGATGCAGATTTCAGATGTTGAGGGATCTTATACCTCAAAATGATCAGAAGAGAGATAAAGCTTCATTCTTGTTAGAGGTTCACCATTTCATTGTAACTGATTATATTATATTATTTAAGTATTCTGTGCAATTATTTTATTTCGTGAAATGAATTGAAGAAATGTATATCATTTGCAGGTTATACAGTACATTCAGTTCTTACAGGAGAAATTAAATATGTACGAGGGATCATACCAAAGTTGGAGTCAAGAGCCCTCAAAATTGATGCCATGGGTAAAATCCTATTATGTCACTTGCGTGTGTGTGTTTGTGTGGAGCTGTATGTTATAATATGGAAATTTTGATTCTGTTGGCATAGCAATGTTCATTTGTTCCTATTTGGCGCTTTCTGTTTGTTTATGGTGTGTGAGGGCTCTTGGTTTTGGACCTCAAGAAAATTTTCATGCCTTTTTGTCAGTTAGGTATGAAACCAAGTTTAAGACCGTTTTTTGAATTAATATTGACATCTAGCAACTTGTATATTATATGTATATGTCCTTTTTCCTTTTTTATGAGTTTCAGTCGCTGGATCTAATTTCTTTTCTTTTATGATATAAATGTTGTGTGAGTAGGCTATGTATTTTTCTTCATTTTGGATATTGACTTTTAGAGTTCCAGGTGTCTCCATTTAGAATTGTAGATTGGATATGACCTCCTCTATTCTTTTATTCTGCATGGTTGTTTGGTTATATGATCATTTCAGTAATTGATTTTTGTCCAATAAATTAGCAGAATTTTGATCGTATTCCCATTGCACTTCTTTAAGGGGTTTGTTCTTAGTATTTTTTTTTTTTTAATTAATCGATTTATAAATGTTTGAGATGCATTTCATTTGGTGTTTAAACTGTAGTGGTGAACTGCACTTTAAAAACTTGGATGCAATTGGGCTTTGTGCATTTTCTTTTACCCTCAAACTTGCTTGTTTGCAAATGAATGCTTGCCAATTGGAATGAAATATGATCATGCGATGTAATGGCATGTGTCTGAAAAATTCACCATGGGTACTCTTTTTCTTCTCATTTGAACTCCTCCTTGCCACTTTAGACAGACATTATTTTGTTTATGGATAGTTTTAGTTTGATTTTTCAAGCTATTTTACTTCTTGTAAATCGGAGTTATAGGATTCTGAGTGTATGGATTCACATCTTGCTTTTCCGAGGGAAATTTAATAATTTTTCATCTGTTTGCAAACAGAGAAACAGTCGTGGGCCTGTAGAAAGTTTTCTCGATCAATCTCAACTCATAAAAAATGGCTTTGGAAATGAGGACAATATTGTCATTACCCCAGCAATGCTCACTGATGCACAAAACTCTGTAGAATCGGACTTGAGTGCAGCCGCTTTATACAAAGCAACAGATAATGCCCCTGCGGCAGCAACCCAAGCAATTCCAGTTAATATGCCATTGCAGCCAAATGTTCTCTTGGACATGCCCACACAACCTTGTCAGGGATCTATTTCTGATGCCGAGCACTTGGCTTCCCAGTCACAAGCCCAATTTTGGCAGGGTAGGCCATGTACAACTGAAAGTGCTGTTCCTAGCTATACTCTCAATGAACAGGAGGAACTGAAACTTGAAAGTGGAGAAGCTAGCATTTCAAATGCTTACTCTCAAGGGTGAGTGTCATCTGCATTAACTTTTGGAGAATTTTGTCACACATATTGCAATATTTGATTGTTAATGATTTAAGTTTGAAGGGTTGAATTCATTTCTAATGGTTATATATATATATTTTTTTTTCCCTGGGAAAGTTGGAAAGCATATATAAATGAACAATATAGTACAAGACTTAATAAGTGAGGGGGGTACCAGTACAAGGATTAGGGCGGTACCCCCACTGATTACAAAAAGAAAACCAAGTCCAATACGAGAAAGTATGGACCCTTAAATAACAAGACAACATAGCATCATAAGAGAAACATTGAGGACAAGTCCATAAGCTAAAGACCTGAGATATCAAGAACCTCCCAACAGATTTGCTTGGCAACTTCTTCTGCAATTCTGATCTTCCCATCATGTAGTCTACTATTCCCTTCACTCCAAATATTCCAGATTGAAGTGGAGAAAACTCAATTAGTGATCTTAGTTTGAAGGTTTGAACCTTGAAAATTTAAGAACATGTTCACCATTTGATCAAATGAACTAAACTGCATATTCCAATAGAATAAACCAACAAGCCAGGACCAGACCTCGCAAAGAGGTATTCTCTGCGGTCTGCTACAGCATAGCAGAGGTGACACACAGGAACAGTACACATACCTCTATTCCTCAAATTAACTAATGATGAAAGCTTATCATGAAAGAGAAGACAACAAGTGAAAGCAACCCTTGGTCTTCTAATGGTTATATAATCTGAAAAAATGTTTGTGCTACGATATGATCGGCAAAGCCTTCTTGTTGGTGGTGGGGTTTTTTTTTTTGTGTTGATCTTTCATCATGTGGGTGTCAAACATGCTGCTCTTCTTGTTCTTTGAATGCTACTTCCAAAGTTAAAAGGAGGGTTCATGTGAGAATTTCATTTGTTATAGATGTAATTAACTGTTAATGCCGCCAACTAGATGCTTATAGGTGAAAGCTCTCTCTAATATCAAATGTCTTAAAAATTGTGGTTCTCTTGCCATATTCATTTTGGATTTGAGGCTTATGTGATATTGCATGATGCTAGCGATCCATATTTGGTTTATTGATGTGCCTTATGTTTTACCAATAATAAAACCACTCGCAATAGAATGAATCCTAGTAGGATATGGCTATATTGAGGGTGTCGAACCACGGGGACTGTGTTGGTTATCTTGCTAAGTATAAGAATATTTCCGGTTTAATTATAGAAGAAAGAGTTGATTTGTGTCGTCTATTTATAATTGCAATGAAATTTAAAAATAAAAGTAAACTAAATTTAATGATGAAAGATGTCCAAGAGAAAAGGCTAGAGCGGACTTATTCTTGAACTCAACTGCTTCACTGCCCTGAAAGTGCTTGAGCGCCAAAAGGCTGCGCTCAAGCCCTTTGCTGAGAAATCCAATAACCTTGCTCCTTTAGTCCCGAATCGATTCTAAAGCGCTGCTATGCTTCTAAATCCATAGAAGCATCATCAAAGGCCCGGAGTCAACGTAATTGACTGCATTTTTGGGGTTACGACCTAAAAATGATAAGAACAAGAATAAATTATCAAAACAACCTATATAAACTTCACTAAGGCCGCTAACATATGCAACTTAAGGCGCTCATCATTTATCTTTTTCTTTTTTCCATTATCTAATTCTGATTCTTTTAGTGTCTTAACTTTCATGCAACATGATTATCATAGGGTTATGTTGGACCGGTATTTCTATAATGGGTTCTCATTATATTTCGTAGCTTGACACCTAGTTGCTTTACTTCCCTTTAATTCTGAAATTCCTTAAACCAAAATTAAACTAGCAATATTTCCAATTTGAGCACATAGATTTCCTTTTTGAAATTGGATGCTCATACTATCATTTTGCTCTTTATCAGGTTGTTGAATACCCTGACCCATGCGCTGCAATCTTCTGGGGTGGATTTGTCGCAAGCAAGCATCTCGGTACAACTTGATATTGGAAAACGAGCAAATAGTGGACTTACCGCTACAATGTCCAATACGAAGGTTTCCTTAATAATCTTTTATTTATTATTTCAAGCCCCATCTGTATTTTTCAACTACCTTTTCTAAAGCCTCTTGTATTATACATAAGAAGTTTGCCACTTCTGGATGTGCCCTCCACCTCACAGCAGTTTTCCTTTCCTCAAACAGGAGAGTCATGTAACAACTTAAACACACTCTTGGCCATGCATTTTTGTGTAATTCACAATGGTTAGGACAATGCTTTATTGAATTAAATCGTGTATGGCTGTACTAAAATCAATACCAAGTGTCATCCACTTTCTCCCTATAGCCTGGAAGCCCATATGTGCAATCAAGTAAAGATAAAACCTCTTAATCATATTATGAACATTGGCGTTCTTGATTCCATCAGCCAAGTGATGTGTATGTCCACACCTTATTATGGAATTAATACACATAACCTCCAACACTACTTGTAAATACAATATTGCTAATGTTGCTACACAATTGTTTACCTTTTTCCTTTTTTTTTTTTTTTTTGGGCAATGGTGGATGTCTCCAACCCCTTTGTGAGCGGGAACTAATCCCTTCGGGTACTTCATGGGGGAAGGTAGAGGGGTTTGGAGGTTCTTAAGCAGATTGTTATGTCAATTCCTTTGGCTTGGTAGAAAATATTGTTTGCCAGTGTTATGGAAATAAATTTCACCGCCAGGATTGGGTAGAGGTTGACGAAGAAATTGAAAATCCCCCCCCTCCCCCCCCTCTCTTCCTTTTCTCTCTTGCGACTCTTTTATAAGTTTTTTTTTTTTTTTTTTTTTCTTTCTGCACAACTATTAGTAGTTTCATCTGCAGTTAATATATATATATATATATATAGCTACATAGTTGTCTATAATTTTTTTTTTCCTTTTTTCTAATTTGATTTTAATTTTGATTTATTGTGTATACAGGATCATAATAACTTATCTCCTGACGATCAAGCAATGGCGCATTATGGGGTTGGGAGCAGTGGCGAGGATTCTGATAAAGCTCACAAAAGGCTTAGAAGGGAACAGATTTAGCATGCATTATCATACCCCTTTTGCTTCTGATATTTTCCCCCATTTTGTTCCTATTTTTTAGGTTTCATTCCATGTGTTGTTATCATTCTTGTTGGGGTATATTTTCCCTCTTGATTTGCTGGGATGTTTATATACTCCTAGTAGAAGCTGTCATATATCATATTTGTACTTTTATCTCAGATAGAGGCTTCCATGTAAATATTGAGAAGCTGCTCTTTGGTTTCCAAAGGTGTCATTGCAGAAAATGAAGCTGCTTGTGCTCCTCTCTTGTTTTGTTGCTCAGTCTGATGTAATCTTTTGTATATTTCTTCTACGTATCTATTACATGTTTGTGTGTGCTGCCAGTCATATTTTCTGTCAAACTTCTATTATAATTTGGAATTGCCTGGTGCAATTTCTCAATCTTAGGCGGAATTTAGGTTTTTGAATATGATGCTTTTGTTAGGAAAATTTGAACAAAAAATAAAAAAGGGCAAATTGTTTGCAAAAAGATTAAATGGTGGTTGGCCAGTTAAGTGAAACTTCGCCAAACTTATCTCCCATATGAAAAAGTATACCACAGTGAGTAGCTACCTTTTGTAGCTGCATTTGATCTGAAAACAGGAGACTGCGCCGAGTGTCATCAACCTTCTTTAGATGCATTTGTTTTAAAACTTTGGGCTCAAATTTTAGGTAGGAATTTTAATGGCATTTGAACTAGATTTATTTCAATTTCATGCTACCGTACATAATTTAAAAATATTATTACCCCAAAGAAGTGCAAAATTGCATGAAAAATTTGCTAAAGGCTTTCTACTTTCTAGTGTACCTGTATTAGAAAATTTAATTCAGTAATTCAACTATTTAATTTTGTTTGATTCAAAAGTTATTCAAGAAATTTTAATTTGGAAACCTTGTAGTATGCCTTAAAAAAGTACTTTAATTCATTTACTGTGCATCGAAGTTTTGGAGTACTAAATTTGTGTTTAAAAATTAAACTCAAATACGTAAAATGGAAATAGTAAATATTAAATAAAAAATCAAAACTAAAAATTAAACGCAAAATACGTAAATAGAAATAGTAAATATTAAATATATAAATGTTAAGAACTAGCCCAAGCCTACTTTTGTCATTATGCCAGCCCAACTAACCTACAAAGCCCGAACCACTTTTGTCATAATGACAACCCAACACACCAGCCAAAATTAGGGTTTGTATACTTAAAGGGGGCGGGGTTTGTAAAGCTTTTCGTCAGATTCTGGGTTTAGGCTCCCTCTCTTCTGGTTTAGACACTCTCTCTCACATATTACAAAAGAGGGTCAAGTATGAGAAAACTCAAGTTTCATGAGAAGAAGCTGTTGAAGAAGGTGAATTTCCTAGAATGGAAGAGAGAAGGTGGCCACCGAGAAGCCTTTGTTATGCAACGTTACCACATCACCGGCAGAGACGACTACAAGAAGTACCGATTCATCCACCAATCTCTCTAGTATTTGCATCATATAAAAATATTTATACTGCGATCTTGATCTTGTTACTTGAATTTTTTAGAACATTGTGTTAGTTTCTGTGAATTTCTGGACAAATATTCCTAGTTTTAATCATTTTTTTTTTTTTTTTTTTGAACTTTTGGTAGATTTGTTCATAGCACCCAAAATTATTTATTTATATATATATATATATATTTATCTGTATTCAATAGGTATTCGAGTATGTGTAGGAGTGTGCAGAAGCTAGTCAACATATTGAAGCAGATGGACCCAAAAGACCCATTTCGGATTGAGATGACCGATGCACTCCTGGAAAAGCTGTGAGTTTGTTCGACTGAGTCTCAATTTGACTTCAAGAAGATAAAATAGGCCTTAATTATTACTGTTATTGTTCTAATCTTGATATTCTAACTAATTTTTTTTTAAAAAAAACCATTTTCTGAGTGTTGTTTCTATTGTCTTTAATAAAGTGATGACTTTGTCAACGGAAAGCATTCCACATTTTTGTCTCCCCAGGTGTATTTAAAAAAAAAAACCATGGTTGATCTTCTAAATTTGTATTATGTATACATGTCCATGCTTCTTGGGGGTACAATCCAGTATATATTTTTAAGTGATTAGTAAGTTTTGGGGGAAAAGTTGCCTCAGGCAAAGAGAAACACTTGTTCATTTACTAACAATGGTAACGCATAAAGAGTTTCTTTTTGAATGGTAATTTGGATGAGTAATTAGACTAAGAAGAGGTCATGCAAGGGATGGAAGATAAGCTCTCCTTGACAGGACATTGATAAGTTATCACCACAGCATGGGACATCAAAAAAGGGGGTGAATGAAGTTGAGATTTTATACTTGTTGAAAAGATAGGAAGTACTCTTGTAAAAATAAATGATGTGTGTACTTATCAAAAAAAATATAAATAATAAATGATGTGTGGGCGGTCAATGCAGTGACAGGGCTAGCATTTTTAATCCTTTTGATACTAAATCTATGGGGATGCGTCCACTTCATTTATGCAGCGGCGATCTGAGAGTATAAAAATAAAATAATATTTAAGGGTTTCAGCTTTAGCACTTGGCAATTCCTTGAAGGATTTGTTTTTCTGGTAATAATGATACAGTGGAATTTTTTTTTCTTTTATTCATTTATTTATGTTTTTAGATCTTTCTTTCTTTGTTTCTTAGCTTTGGATCAGTGGTTTAGAGGTTGTACTCTGTTGATTTCTTGAAGGGTGCAGGCCGGGGCCTCCACTGATTATACCTCAACTGTATTTAGGTTGCATCCTTTTTTGCTCCAACCCACACCCCCAGCTAAGATAGATACATGTCATGTCAATTGCAACTGGCAAGAAAGTGGTCTTCACTGGCTGATCTGCCATTTGTACACCTACATTGTGTTTGTTGCTTGAATTGTATAAAGAAATAGCTAGGTAGTGACTAGCGATATAAAATTGACTAAGATTATCCGTAGAAAAATTAATGAAAAACTTACAAAAATGATGGAATTCAACCTTCTCATTGGTTATTTGTTTCACAACCTGTTTTCTCCTCCTTATTTCCAGATATGTCATTATAACTCTCATTCTTAATTGACTATGGTAATTTGATAGTTGAGAGACTTTATGCTTTGTTGCAGGTACAACATTGGTGTAATACCAAGTAGGAAAAGTTTGGCCTTGTGTGAGCGATTAACAGTATCGACCTTTTGTCGGTAAGTATGCTGCATATGCCATTTGAGCGCAGTTAGATATTTGGATTCTTCTAGAACTTCTATATTTCACTTTTCTATTTCAAGGTGTTCACTTTGGCATCATGGTCTTGATTTTTAGATAATATAGTATTGACTTCTATTGATGATGTGAGGCAGTTATACTACCAAGAAGTCATCAGAAATCTGTTCTTCTTAAAAATTTATAAATAAACACTCTGATGCCATGGTGTAAAATAAATTTATTTCTAGGTCCATTTGATTGGCTCGATTCTTTCTAGTTCATTGCTTTGTGTGAGATGTGTTGTTTCTTTTTTGAATATTTCTCCATTTGCAGTTGTTCTTGCTTGAATATTTCTACATTTGCAGGCGTAGGCTTTCAACTGTCTTAGTGCATCTAAAGTTTGCTGAACATTTGAAAGAAGCTGTCACATATATAGAACAGGGGCATATCCGGGTGGGTCCAGATACAGTTACTGACCCAGCATTCCTTGTAACAAGAAACATGGAAGACTTTGTTACATGGGTAGATACATCCAAGATAAAGAGAAAGGTTCTGGAGTACAATGAGAAGTTGGATGATTATGATGCAATGAACTGAGTATTCCGTTGTTAACCCTCCCCCCCCCCCCCCCCCCCCCCCCCCAAAAAAAAAAATAAATAAAAAAAGCTTCACTACCTCTTTTTGTAACAAGTCTGCCCTTCAGAAATGTAGGAGATTTTATCTACTTAACCTTGTGTAATACATATCATTCGTCGAAACCCTAGCAAAATATGTTATGTAATGATTCGGTATTGTTATGCCTGCTCCTTTTTTGAGGAATTCTACTTCAGGTTCTGTTAAACGATATTAAAATTTTGTGCACCACGCATTTGCTATCTTTCCATTTTGTGAACTCTGCTGCTTTCTTTGATGGAGAAAAACTTATCAATTGTTAGTAACTGCCAAATGGACCATCAATATGTTCTTCACAAGCAAAGTGCAAACAATCACATAAGCTCGTCATCACTCTCAAGTCTAAACTCGTAAGGCATTTGAACAGGGGCACAAAAGTAGCCAGCAGGTCCAGCCCTTCAAGTTTGCAACCCAAACCTAGTACCTCGGTTCAACTAGAAACCAGACAACCCACCTGCAACCTAAGATGCTCAACGCCTTTTGGTGTTGCTCCTCAGTAACATTCTCTGTCAAATGATAGACATGACGGACGCCTTTTCTTGTGATTGTACATTATGTACAATCAAAACAATTGTCAATGAAAAATAAAATAGAAAATACTGTTGTTACAAGGTCAATTTTATTTATTTTTTTATTATTTTTTTTAATGAGTAGGGGAAAAATTCTGGTAAACCAGTACAAAATGGCAAAAGATAAACATGACAGACGCCAATCACAGTTGGCATACAACAATTGTAAATGAAAAATAAAATAGAAAATAATGTTCTTAAAAGGACAAGTTTTTAAAAAAAATATAAAATAAAATAAATAAAGAGTAGGGAAAAAAAATCTGGTAAACCAGTCCAAAATGGCAAAATAAACCTGTTGCTGCCCAGGCTCGAACTGGGGACCTTTAGTGTGTAAGACTAACGTGATAACCACTACACCACAGCAACTCTTATGTCAGGACCAACTGAATAAATTATTTGACTGAGCTGAGAAGGAGCAAATCGATTAAAAAAATAAAAAAAAATGAAAGAAGGCCCACTATTCTATTATGGATGGTTACAATTCTGGTTCTCACTGACGTAAATATATGTATGTATATAGAGCAATATTTATTAGAGAAGCTTTTTCTCACACGCACAGTGAACACAAAAAAGAAAAACTTTATTCAAGTCTTTACCAAGCAAGTGATACATATAGCCTATTTATAGGCTCCAGATAAAGCGTCCCAAGCAAGCTTATACTAAAGCTTTCATTGTAAGTTAAAAGTTGGTCTTCCTGTCCACGCCAAAGATGACATATATGGATGACTTACACTATTATGGGCCCCATAAACATAGATATATATAACACTCCCCCTTAGGGTCCATAATACTACACTAAGAATATGCCTCGTTAAAACCTTACTAAGGAAAACCCAGTGGGACAAAACCCTAGTGAAGGAAAAAAAGTACAGTATTCTTGTGTATCTGAAAATGGTATTGCATAGATTAAAATTGCCTCATTAAAACCTTGCCAGGAAAATCCAGTGGGATAAAACCTGGACGAAGGAAAAAGAGTACAGTATACTAATACCTCTTTGATCAATTGTTCCCCCTCATTAGTTCAACCCTGAAGATCCTTTAGTTGACGCATTCCAATATTGTCCACTAACTTCTTGAATGTTGTAGTTGGAAGCGCTTTAGTGAATAAATCTTCTAGATTATCACTAGAGCGTATTTGCCGAACATCGATATCACAGCGCTTCTGGAGCTCGTGTGTGGAAAAGAATTTTGGTGAAATGTGCTTGGTTCTGTCACTTTTTATGTATCCTCCTCTTACCTGTGCAATACATGTTGTATTATTTTCATATAATATTGTTGGACTATCTTTGATTGGGGAGAGTCCACATGATTCTCGGATATATTGTATAACAGATCTCAACCAAACACACTCTCTACCTGCTTCATGAATTGCGAGTATCTCAGAGTGATTTGAGGAAGTTGCAGTCATGGTCTGTTTCATAGATCGCCATGATATAGCAGTACCACCACAAGTAAATAAGTACCCTGTTTGTGATCGGGCTGTGTGAGGGTCAGAAAGATAACCTGCATCTGCATATCCGATCAACTGGGGCTTTGATTGTCTTGAATAAAACAACCCCATATCAGTCGTTCCACGAAGGTAACGCATAATGTGCTTGACCCCATTCCAATGTCTTCGAATTGGTACAGAACTATACCGTGTTAGTAAGTTGACTGCAAATGCTATATCAGGTCTGGTACAATTTGCAAGGTACATTAGAGCACCGATTGCACTAAGATATGGTACTTCAGGACCAAGAACTTCTTCGCCTTCTTCCAGAGGACGAAAAGGATCTTTCTTAACATCAAGTGATCGGACAATCATTGGAGAACTTAAGGGGTGAGCTTTATCCATATAAAAGCGCTTCAGGACTTTTTCGGTGTATGTTGATTGATAAATAAGAATTCCACTTGGTAAATGTTCGATCTGCAGGCCGGGACAAAATTTTGTTTTACTAAGATCTTTCATTTCGAATTCTTTCTTTAAATAATTAGCAGTCGTGGTGAGCTCTTCAGGAGTTCCCACAAGATTTAGATCGTCAACATATACAGCTATAATGGCAAATCCAGATTTTAATTTCTTGATGAAAATGCATGGACAAACTTGATTATTCACATATCCTTCTTTGAGTAAATACTCGTTGAGTCGATTGTACCACATGCGTCCGGATTGTTTCAATCCGTACAAGGATCGTTGTAACTTGATTGAATACATGGTACGTGGTTTCAAGCTATTTGCTTCAGGCATTTTAAATCCTTCAGGGTTTTTCATATATATGTCACTATCTAGTGATCCATATAAATAAGTTGTAACCACGTCCATCAGACGCATATCCAGTCCTTCTGAGATTGTCAAACTGATCAAGAAGCGAAATGTGATTGCATCCATCATAGAAAAGTATGTCTCTTCATAATCAATACCAGGTCTCTGCGAGAAACCTTGGACTATAAATCGGGCTTTGTATCTTACAAATTCATTTTTCTCATTATATTTCCTTACAAACACCCATTTGTATCCTACAGGCATGACATCTTCAGGTGTCTGGACTACAGGTCCAAATACTTCACGTTTTGCTAATGAGTTTAGCTCTGCCTGTATTGTTTCTTTCCATTTTGGCCAATCATTTCTACATCGACACTCTTCGATGTTTTGAGGGTCAGGATCCTCATTATCACCTGCAATATCAAAAGCAACCGCAAAGGAGAATATATCGTTAATAATAACTATATTTCTATCCCACAATTCTCTATAGTTTATTGAGATCTCATTATTTTCAGGTACCAGTGCTTCTTCAGGGGCTTGTGCCATTTCCAGGGCATGTGCCACTTCCGGGGCATGCATATCTTCTGGGGCTACTTGCTTATAAAATTTAGATTGATCAATCATTTTCATTGTTTCTTTTGCAAGTGTGACCTCTTCAGGAGTGCCAATTTCTTTTGCAAGTATGACCTCTCTAGGAGCGCCAATTTCTTTATTTGATTTCTCTTGCACTTTCCTCTTCCGGGGAACAGTGTCTTTTGCACCGACTGGTCTACCACGCTTCTGGCATGTCTTAGATACATTTGCAACAGTACTGACAGACTGTCCTACAGGGACATCAATTCTTGCTGGAATGTTTGCAGCTGGTATATGTGATTTCATCACTTTCTTTGTGTCAGTGAATACATCGGGTAATTGATTTGCAATACTTTGCAAATGAATGATCCTTTGAACTTCTAGTTCACATTGATTTGTGCGAAAATCTAAATGAGATAAAGTTAAGACATTCCAATTAATAACTCGTTGCTCTTCTGGCTTTTTCTTTTCTCCCCCTAATGTAGGGAAAGCAGTCTCATCGAAATGACAGTCAGCAAACCGCGCCTTAAAAACATCACCTGTCATAGGTTCAAGATATCTAATAATAGATGGAGAATCAAAACCTACATAAATACCAAGTCGTCATTGATGACCCATTTTGGTGCGTTGTGGGGGTGCAATAGGAACATATACAGCGCAACCAAAAACTCGTAAGTGAGAGATACTTGGTTGTTGACCCATCACAAGTTGTAATGGTGAAAAACTATGATATGCAGTTGGTCTAATGCGAACTAGTGATGCTGCATGTAATATCGCATGTCCCCAAGCAGAAACAGGTAGTTTAGTTCTCATGAGTAATGGTCTAGCTATTAACTGAAGACGTTTGATAAAAGATTCTGCAAGACCATTTTGGGTATGAGTGTGTGCAACAGGATGTTCAATAAGAATGCCAATTGACATGCAATAGTCATCAAATGATTGAGATGTAAATTCCCCGGCATTATCAAGACGGATAGTCTGGATTGGATAATTCGAAAATTGTGCTCGTAATCGGATTATTTGAGCAAGGAGTCGAGCAAATGCAACATTACGAGTAGAAAGTAAACTTACGTGTGACCACCGTGTTGATGCATCAATTAAGACCATAAAATACCGAAATGGTCCACACGCTGGATGAATTGGTCCACATATATCCCCTTGAATTCGTTGTAAAAATGGTGGGCATTCAACGACGACCTTGGAAGGTGATGGTCTGACTATTAATTTACCCTGTGAACAAGCGGTACAAGGATAATCATTTGCTAAAAGAATATTCTGGTTCTTTAGTGGATGACCATGTGAATTTTCAATGATTCGGCGCATCATTGTTAACCCAGGATGACCAAGGCGATTATGCCAAAGTACAAAAATATTTAGGTCGGAGCACTTCTGGTGTGTCACTGCATGTGACTCAATTACTCTTATATTTGTATGATATAACCTAGAAGATAAAGCAGGGAGTTTTTCTAATACATGATTCTGGCATGTAATACAGAGATAATCAACGCCCCCTTCATTTATAGTCTCAATATGATAACCGTTGAGACATATATCTTTAAAACTTAATAAA